TAAGGACAGCGCCAAGCTGTTCATGAGGGATCCACCCCCAGAACCCAGACACCTCCTGCCGGGCCCCGCATCCAACACTGGAGGTCACATTTCAACAGGAGATGTGGAGGGGATGGCGCCCTGCTGATCCTGGGAAACCGGAAGCTTTAGCTTTGCCTTTGGTGGGCTGCACACGACTGAGGCACCGGCCCCTTTGAAATATGACCCCCAGTGTCATAGGTGGAGCCTGGCGGGAGGTGTCTGGGTCCTGGGGATGGGTCCCTTGTGAATGGGGAACCACTGGCCCTCTCTGCTGACCCCTTGGAGGAGAAACACCTTCCGGGAGGAGGCGGCAGCTGGGAGCCTGGGGGCGTTTCTTAGGCTTCAAGAACGGAGTGACTTTGTGTCACAGGAGGGCATGGAATCTCCTGTGCAGTGAACCCAGGTGGGCGAGGGGACTGTGGGAGGGGGCTCGGGCAAGCTGGGTCTCCCCCGTCACTGCTGCCCGTGGGCCTCCTGCTCCCAACACCCCTCAGAACGCGGTGGATGTCCCTGGTGCCAGGCCCTGGGGAACCTGTAGGGGAAGCAAGGACAGTGGCTGGCTGCTACTCTGCTGAGAATACCAGTATCCCTGCTGTTGCTGCTGCTAATACTGCATCTGCTGCTGCTGCTAATACTAACACCAAACTGTTACTGTGAAGGATAACACCAGTACACTTGCAGGTCGTAATAATGATACTGCTGTGACTAGTACGAATAATACCAATGCTGCTGCTGCTGCTGCTAATACTGTGCTGCTATGAATACTAATACCAACATCACTGTTACTATACCACTGCTCACACCCATGCGATTCCTACAAAAAACACTACTGTTGCTACCACTGCTGCTAATGCTCTTTCATACCAAAGCAAGGCTGCTACTACTGCAGGAAATAAAAATACCAGTACCACTGATACTGGTACGGCTAATCAATACCAACACTGCCACCGTGATTGCAGCTGCTCCTGCGAGCGCCGCCACCGCTGCCAACGGCAGTTGCATGTGCCCAGCATTCCATCTGCTGCCCTTTTTGGAGCACTAAGCCCGTGTTGACGCACTCTGCCCTCATGCTCATCCTAGAAACAGGCTTTGTCATCATGGCTGTTTCACAGAGGACGGGACTAACCTCTGCCGGGCTCTGCCCTGGCTGCTCACAGGCACTCTGGCCCCGGGGCTTCCTGCCTGGCCTTTCATCCACTGCCCCGAGCTGGGGGATGCTCAGGCTTGAGCCCTTTCCCACCCCTCCTCCTTCAGCTCATTGTCCAGTCACCCCAAGCCTCGGCCGCAGAGGGAAGGCGTGTCCGGCCCTGCAGGGGTCTCTGAGGCTGTGGCTCTGGGGTTCAGGCACTCGTGCGGACCTGGGTGATGTGGCCTCTCCTCACCCGTGGTCACGCACTGTGCCATCGCAGGCCTGGGTGTTCATCAGGTCCAGGTTCCCTCTCCCACGGGGAACCCTCAGCTGTAGGTATCCTGTGAGTCTGCGCTCCAGGCCCCGTTCTGTGCACAGAAGACGCAGGCCCCTCTGTAGGCTGGTGGCGGCCCTCCTTGAACCCCACCAGCCGCTGTGCAGAGGTCTTGGGGTTCCTTGATGAGCCACCCGGTGGCTGCTCCTCCACCTGTTTTCTGTCTCCCTTGGACAGAGGTGACCTGGTTCATCTCTAACTTGAGGGTACTCCGCACTTCCTGTGCATGGATCCATTTACCCACAGCTTATTGTGATCCATCGAGTATCTGTTAAATGCCCATGCTGTGCCAAGTCCTGAACTAGGGGTTGAGGATGGACTGATGGGCCAGGCCGAGGGGCTGACCTTAGGAAGTGCCACTGTGGCCCACACAGGACACAGGCATGGGAGTGGCCCTGCCAGGCCCTAGGGACCAAACCACAGAGAGCCTGCAGCTGCTGCTTGGCTCACCCTCATCCTTGGCCCCCCAGCCCCCGTCATTTCTGGGAGTCCTATGGAACCATGTGAGAGCAGACAGCCTGCCCTCTTCCCTCTGTATTGCACCCAACCCGCCCTCCTGCAACCAAAGCAGGCAGCCCGCAGCCCGCCGGCCACCGCGTAGGTGTGCATCAGGTGCAGAACTCGCTTTAGGCCCCTGCGACCTCAGCCGCCCTTAACCCCCTCGATGGGGTGTAACGTCCCCAAAGGTTGGCTGTTCACGTGGTACCTTTCATTATTTTCACCGTCTCCGCATGCTGCCTATATTCTTAGTTTCTGTTGTTTAAAATCCCTTCACTTCTGAAAACTTTATTTTGAAGTAATTTTAGGTTCACGGGAATTGACAAAGACAGCAGGGAGCGTTCCCGTGGCCCCTCTTCCGGCTTCCTGGTGGTGGCGTCTCTGTAGCCAGAGTGTGCTCTCAAAGCCGGGAAGCTGGCGTGGGAGCAGCACTGTGGTGTGCTGGGGAATTTATTTGCTGTCTCCAGTGTTTGTATCCTCTTTTTTTTCCCCCCGTATACAGCTGTATGGCATTTGGTGGTATATACAGATTCTTGTTACCACCACCACCGTCAGGTGTACAGACGCTGCTGTCACCCAGAGAAACTCCCTCACGACACCCTCCCTAGTCACAGCCTCCCCAACCCGAAACCCTGACAACTGCTGATCTGTTCTTTATTGCTATAATTTTATCATTTCAAGATTGTAATAGGAAAAATCTATTCACTTTTTTTTTTTTTTGAGACAGAGTCTCACTCTTGTTGCCCGAACTGGAGTGCAGTGGCTCGATCTCGGCTCACTACAACCTCTGCCTCCTGGGTTCAAGCAATTTTCCTGCCTCAGCCTCCCAAGTAGCTGGGACTACAGGCATGTGTCACCCTGCCCGGCTAATTTTGTATTTTTAGTAGAGACTGAGTTTCACCATGTTGGCCAGGCTGGTCTCAAACTCTTGAGCTCAGGTGATTTGCCTGCCTCGGCCTCCCAAAGTCTGGGATTACAGGCATAAGCCACCATGCCCGGCCTATTTTATTTAGGTCATTTTCATAGATACGATGTCAGGGAATGGATGTGCCAGTTACACGTTCTCTGTCGCACGTTAGAATGAATGCATGACTATTAAACGTCTCCTGTTCCTCCACGCTCCAGGAAGGCTCCGCAAGTGCCCCGTGGGTGCCTGGGGGCTTGTTGGCTCACACAGTTGAGCTCAGGGCCCTCTGGGGTCAGGCCTTGCCTGCAGCAGGCAGTGACAACTGTTCCCTGGCCAAGACCCTGGCTGCCCTGCAGGGCCTGTCACTCTGTCTCAAGGGCTGATCCAGCAGAACCAGAGTGCCTGCAAGCCCCCGGAAGCTAAGTCATCATCCCACCTGCAGACCCCGCATTTGGGGTAGGAGCTGTCCCCGGGCTTGGATTCCCTTTGATGCTTTCCATGTCATGCCCGGGAGCCCCTGGGCTTTTAGCTCTACGCCTTCCTCGGTAGACACAGCCGGCTTGGCCAAGCCCATTCAGCTTCTTAAAGAAGAATAGTGCTGATTTCTTTTAATGAATCAAAGAAATTAATTATAGGCTTTGGATTTGTTAGGTTTATTTTAGAAATCCATGATCTCAGCCATAAATAGTGCTTCATTCTGGACTAAGGAGCTGAGAAGCCTGCTGCTTGTGGAGGGACAGTGGGGGAGAGGATGGATGAAGAGGAGGGGCGGAGGAGGGGGAGGTGGGGACTGTCGCTGAGCCCTTTGCTCAGGTCCGGGACGCAGCAGGAAACAGGCCGACAGAGGCCTGCCCTCATGCGGCTGACATTTCACTGGGGAAACACCAGTGTCTGTCGTCAGCCCCAGAGATGACATTAATAATCCCATAATGGATTTTCCCAGCCGTCCTAAAGTAAGGAGTGGCAAGAAAGCGGCCTTGTATGCAGACCCGACAAGCCGTCCCCATAAGGAGCATGGTACCCAGAGCTCAGGGTTCGCCATTTTCACTGATTCAGCAAACGCTCTCTGAGCACGATGCTGAGTCCATGCAGAGTGTCGAAGGTGTATCCACGAGCCAGAAGGCAGAGACTCAGGGCTGAGAGTGTCGTCGTGGACACCGACAAGAAACAAACAGCCCAGGAGCTACCGTAGTGCCGGGGGGCGGTCAGCGCGGTGGAGAAAGGAAGGGTGGGTCCTCTGTAGACCCCTCTGTCCTGCACCTTCTGTGATGGGGGCCAGAAACCCATCTCAGGAGACCGTGTCTCACACACAGCTCAAGTCCCAGGGGAGCAGGGAGCGGGGCTTTGCCCATGTACCCCTGACCTGGGAGGAAGCCCACAAGGGTCAGAGATGTCCCGAGATTGGACACAGCCCAGGTCTGTCCTGCCCCGAGGAAGGAGCTTTGCTGGGCTACCCCTTTCCTGTATGTGTCCCCAGGGGAGACGCTTGCCTTCCCCAGGGCTCCCGAGGTGTCTTCGTGTTGTCTGCAAATGCAGCAATGTTGCTAACTGACTGTAGCAGATAGATTCCTTATTGCTCAAAGTGGCGTTCTTAAGTGTTCTGCAGTCCAAAGGGGCAGGCACCCTGGATGAGAATTGCATCCTTGCATCCGTGGGACAGCACCTGAGCTGCTCCCCTGAGTCTGGGCCGCATCACAGCCTCATACTCCAAGTTCCAAACAGCTCTAGCAAAGCCTGCCAACTGCAAAGTGCCCGGGCTGCACGCACAGCCCAGAACAATCTACGGTTGGCTGGGAGCTGAGTGTTTGCAGAATTTCTTGGCACCTGTGGTTTCTCACATTGGCCAGTAGCCAGGTGGCACGAGAAGCTGGGTTTATCAGGCACTGCTCTCCCATGGAGGTGGGAGGCAGCCCCTGCTGCACACGGCACACACAGACACGTGCACACACTCTTACCACGCATGCATTTTCACAGACACAACACGTGTGTGTGTACACACACGTGCACACACATGCATATGTGCACACATACAACACATGTGAACAGGCTCAGACACATTTCCACCACCAAATGCGCCACCGCTGACCCCCTGTCCTGCCTCTGCCGTGCAGTCCAAGGTTCGAGAGCTGGAAGAGAAATGCCGGACTCAAAGTGAGCAGTTCAACCTGCTGTCCCGGGACCTGGAGAAGTTCCGGCAGCACGCTGGGAAGATTGACCTGCTGGGTGGCAGCACGGTGGCCCCCCTGGATGTCTCCACGGCCCCCGGCAAGCCTTTCCCGCAGTTCGTGAATGGCCTAGCCACCTCCCTCGGCAAAGGTAAGCACCTGGACCATCCGCCTTGCTGTGGTGGGGACAGAATGGCCGTTGGCCGGGCCTGCGAGGGTGCGTGCAGGTGAAGTCGGTTTGGTGACACCTGGCAGAGGGTTCAGGGACCCACCACCACAGTGGGAAGGATGAGAACAGGGCTGCTCGCAGCCACGGGGCACACGGTGCACCCAGCACCTCACGGGCATCCACAAATGTGTGACCCACACATTTTCTCACCTGTAAAATGGGCCCATCATACAGGCGAGAAAAACCAAGGCACTAGCGTGGGTCACACAGCTGCTGATGAAGGCTCAGTCTGGGATGTGAACCCAGGAGTCTGGCTGCAGAGACTACACTGGTGACAACTCCACGCGGGCTTCTTGGCGGGATACTCCAACGCTCTGCGAAGCTTGTTTCTCTGCATTAGTTGTTTCCCTTCCTTCTCATCTCAGTAACCTGTTGGTGATGTTGGGACGTGCTTGGCACCTCTGTTCCAGCAAAGGCAGTGGTGAACATGAGCCCTCACCCAGCACAGTCCTGCTTAGAGGCCGGGTGGAGAGAAGCCCCCTGTGTACGTGCTGGGGGGGTTAGTCTTGGTCGCAGGCAGAACAATCACAGGTGTCCTTTAATCAGAGCTCGGTGGAGGTGCCATGTCCCGGCTGAAGGTTAAGTGGGATGCAGAGGTTAGACAGGTTTCATGGCCAGGTCTGCCCACCTGTTTAAGAAGTTGGTTTAAAAAAAATTAGGAGAGATGAGCATCTGAACCTCACTTTGGAATTCCGTAAAAAAGATAATTTGCACATTTCCCCTAGTTTTTATCAGAATATATAAGTACCTTGGGTGCTTTTTATCATTAAAATAAGGAGATGCCACTTGGGTCTTGTTAAAAAACGTTCTCCTGCCTCTCCCCTCATCCCGCACCTTCCCACACCCTTTGCTTTTGGTCCATGCATCAGAGAGAATACGGGCTGGGGTAAGCGGCCATGGCTGTGGAAGGCCAGTAGGCAGGGACCAGGATCTGAGCGCTCTGCCGCTCATCTCCAGGCACTCACGACACGCGGGCTGCATGCCCTGCCCAGGTTGTGACATTGAAAGACAGACAGGGCCCCTGGCGGAGCTCCTGCTGGCGGGCAGATGATACATAGGGAGCCCCTGAACCAGACGCTGCATACAGACCAGGTGACAAGGTGGACGGTGATTTGGGCTCTTCTAGATGGTCCTGGAAGGCGGCTGCCAAGAAACCACATTTGAGCTGTGAAACCTGAAGGGTGGAGGAAAACAAGACAGTTTCAGTTCTTCCCAGGGGAAAACAGAATGCACGTGTCTCCACGCTCTTTCTCTCCCTCCCTCCCGCAAAGGGACACAGAGCGCCGCTCCATGCCACAAGAAACGCACGGCTTCTGCTCTGGGAAACCCACTGAGACTCGGGCCCAGAGCTTTTCCTGGGGGCTGCTTGTGCGGGCACCATGCCCACTGAAGCTCTAGACTCCCAGAAGGAAAGCAGGTGTTCACTGTGAGCTGTGTGGTGTGCACAAGCCAGGCCTGCCTTTATCACTCAGGGGATGTTTCCTTCCAGTGTAGAGGACATTTCAGAAGCTGAGTTCCAGACACCGGCCAGGGACCCACCTCGCAAGCTGGCCCTTCTGAAAACAGCAGTCGCAGGCCTGCCCGGTGAGCCCGAGGCTCACAGCACGTGAATGTGGGACCCACTGCAAAGCTCCTGGGTCAGGGAGGTGGGAACGGGGATTGGCCAGCATGGAAAAAGGGATCTGATTAACCACGGCAGAAAATGCACACTGAGTAAAACCAAAAAACCAAAGCGGGACGATGCCTGTGCTAAACCAGGGGCCACTTGGCAGAGAAGAAGGTGTGCACCAGGGCTTGTGTTTAATAACCGTCCGGAAGATGCACCCTCCTAATGAACCCAGCTCATTTAATCACTCTTTGCTCGCCCACCGGGGTCCCCCGGCATGGCCCATGCCCGTCTCCCCTGGCATTGCCCTGGCATTCTCCTCACAGTGCATGTCACTTATGGTGGCGGACACCAGCGCCTCCAGAGAGCTGCTCCACACCACCCCGATCCCACCAGGACACTCCTCCCTGCAGACAGCGCAGGTCCCTCTTCCACGCCTCTGCTGAGGGTCTCCTCTTGTTTTATTCTTTCTTCCCTCACTCTCTGAATGGGTTTACTTATTTTTGTACATTTTCCCCCTCTGTGTTTACTTAGTTTTCTACATTTTTTCCAGCTTTGAGGTATAGTGGATAATTAGAAATCATATATATTTAAGGTGTACAACGTGATCCTATGTAACATAAATCAGTTGCGAAATAATCACCACAGCCAAGCTAATTAACATACCACCTCCTATCCACATCCTCACGTGGTTCCCTTTTCTTTTCATGGTGAAAACCCTTAAGATCTGCCTCCTTGGCAAACTTCAAGTCTATAATCCAGCGTTTTTTGTTTGTTTGTTTTTTTTTTTTGCAATGGAGTCTCACTCTGTTGCCCGGGCTGGAGAGCAGTGGTATGGTCTCAGCTCACTACAACCTCCGCCACCCAGGTTCAAGCGATTCTCCTGCCTCAGCCTCCCAAGTAGCTGGAATTACAGGCACCTGCCACCATGCCTGGCTAAGTTTTGTATTTTCAGTAGAGATGGGGTTTCACCATGTTGGCCAGGCTGGTCTTAAACCCCTGACCTCAGGTGATCCACCTGCCTTGGCCTCCCAAAGTGCTGGGATTACAGGTGTGAGCCGCTGCCCTGGCCAACAATCCAGCATTTTAGCTGCATTCATGTTTCTGTGCAGATCCCCAGAGCGTATTCATCTTGTGCCCTTCAACCAACAGCCCCGGGCCCAGCCCCTGGTGACCACTGTTCTGATCTCTGCTTGCGAGTTGGCCTTGTTGAGGTTTCGCATGTAAGTGGGGGCCGTCCATGCCACATTTGTCTCTCTGTGCCTGGGTTATTCCACATAGCAGAGAGTCCTCCAGGTCCCTCATGTTGTCATAAAGGGCTGGGTGTCCTTCTTTCCTGAGGCCGGATAACATCCTATTGTGTTCATATCTGTATTTTTTACCTGTTCATCTGCTGCAGATCTTTCTCCCACACGGACCTGAGACAGAGGGTGGTGGAAGGTGCAGGGCTGGCCGCAAGACACAGAAGGGGTCCCAGGCGGATGTGCCGTCACTCACCTGTGCTTTCACCCAGGGCTCCTCCGGCCTGTGGCTGGGGCGGCCACCAAGGGACTCACGTCCTGTATGGGGAGGCCCCTCTGACAGAGTGAGGCTCTGCAGTCAGTATGGGAGGCAGGCGTTGCTCACGGACCAAACTGTCCCTGGCAACCTCCCAGGAAGGAGCGCGTTGGGGAGAGGCATGGCCTCTCCTATCCCCGCCTGCACCCCCCTCAGCACAGCCAGCTTTCCTTCCAGTATGGGAGCTGGGTTTTTTGAGTCAACATTGTTTTGAGCCATATGTTTCTAGAACATACGTATTTTGAAGCATTCCCATCATGAGAGAGGGTGGTGTTCGCATCTCGAGGGGCCGGTGGGAGCCAGCCCCACTTGAAGGCACTGCATGTTTTGTTTCTAATCTCACCCTCTCAGGCACAGCGGCAGGTAGAAGCTTCCATGGGGATTACATTATGTTTCCCTAGAGAGTTAGGTTCGGATAAGTTAAGTGTGAATACAAGGTGACTGCTGTGTTCACATCACCTTCATCGGCTGTGCCGTCCCCTGCTGTTCACTGTGGCTGCGGTGTCCCCTGCTGTTCACCGTGGCTGTGCCATCCCGTGCCGTTCACTGTGGCTGTGCCATCCCGTGCCGTTCACCGTGGCTGTGCCGTCCTGTGCCGTTCACCGTGGCTGCGGTGTTCCCTGCTGTTCACCGTGGCTGCGGTGTCCCCTGCTGTTCACCGTGGCTGTGCCGTCCCGTGCCGTTCACCGTGGCTGTGCCGTCCCGTGCCGTTCACCGTGGCTGCGGTGTCCCCTGCCGTTCACCGTGGCTGCGGTGTCCCCTGCCGTTCACCGTGGCTGCGGTGTCCCCTGCCGTTCACCGTGGCTGTGCCGTCCCTTGCTGTTCACCGTGGCTGCGGTGTCAGGCAGGAAGGCTAAGTTCTGCTGCAGTCACAAACCCCCCCAGTCTCGGAACGCCGGAGGACAGCGTTTCCTCTCCGGAAAGTTCCCTGGCCACTGTGTGGGGAGGAAAAGTGGCTTTTGCCCGCAAGTGGAGCCTGTCACGCCCGTCGAGTTTCACTGGTCCAGGTGACTCTCGTGGCTGGGAGCAGAGAAGCAGCAATGCCAGCTGGAACTGGAGAAGCGGCAGCAGGCCCTGCTCTCGGCTGGGTTTCTGAGGCTTCTGGGAGCTGACTCGTTCAGTGTTCACTTCGCACCTGCTGCACGCCGAGCCATGTTACAGTGAATAAAACGAGGTCCTGCCCTCCAGGATTGGATGTTCTCACAGGGGACCGCGGGGCAGGGCTGCCCCAGTTCCAATTCCCTGCCGTGGTGGGGCTGTCCTGCTGCTCACTGCAGCCTGGAGCTGTGGGGCCTGCCAGGGGCGGCTCCTAGGGCAGCCGTTAGTGGAACATTCCTGATGGCTTTTTAAATCATTTTATCCTTCCCGATTTGGACTCAGCAATTCATATTCATCAGTGAGGTGACTGTTAGGATGAGACAGCGACAGAGGGACCGAGGACCCCAGGGAGGAGGCGTCATCATTCCTAGTAGCGGAGAGCTTGGGAAGGAAAGCAGCCGCGTCGTGTTTCACACCTGGATCCTGGTTAAAGGGCAGCGTTCGTCACGGTGCTCAATGCTCCTTTCCAGGCCACCAGGACAGGGCTCAGCAGCCCCTGAGACCCCAGGAGGACAGGATGGGATGAGAACTATTTCAGTCCTTGCAAATCTCTCATCAAGAGTATATTTTAGCCACAAACCCACCTCTCTGGCCAGTTAGGACTCTGGTTCACAAGTGACGGCAAAGCCAGCCTACGCTGGTGTGAGCGAAAAGGAGTGTGTCTGTCACCTGGAGCAGGTGAAGAGCCAGGACGCGGCTTCAGGCACATCTTGAACCAGGGGCTCCAAGCCCATCGCCAGGATCCACTTTCCCTCGTTCTCACTGTGAGCAGGTGCCGTCCTCACGGAATGCTCCTCTTGCAGGTGCAGGAGGTTGGCGGCTTCCCAGAGCTTCACAGCCGCTCAATTTTAAGCCAAGGAAAGGAGTAGCCTCTTTGCCATCAACTCTCCTTTAGTTCCCTCTGCCTGGGCCGGTCCTTGTCCTGTGCTCCCAAAGAAGCATTACCACCAGGGTGAACCTGCCAGCTGGACGGACCCAGAGCTGAGGGTGGGGTCACACCAGCCTACGTAGATGGTGAGCGGGAGACGGGTAGACCCCAAAATGAAACGCAGTGACTGTTGTCAAAGAGGGGAAAGGTACCCCGGGTAGGCACGTGACCAATGCACTTTTACGATGTTATTTGTATATTTGTTTCAACTTGTTTTAATGTTCGTGGCCAGGTCAAGAGAGCGCTATTGGAGGCGGCTCTGCGATCGGTGAATATATCCGGCCCCTTCCACAGCCTGGTGACAGTCCGGAGCCTCTGCCCGCCAAGCCCACCTTTCTGTCGAGATCCGGTAGCCCAAGATGCAGATCTGAGTCAGACGTGAGTCCCGTCCCACAGGGGCCGCCGGGCCTGCCTGTGCCATGTGTGTCTGGTGTGGATGTTGGCCAGTCTGTCCCGTGTTTCCTTCCCCATCCTCCTCCCTCTCTTCCTTCTGGTTGGTTCTTCCCTTTGCCCCTTTTAATTCCCTGGCCCGACTATGTGCTGGGATGTAGGGACCCCGCTGTGAACACAGGTGAGGTCCCTGTTCTAAGGGGGAGCAGAGAGAACACTGGCGAGGCAGCGTTTAGAAAAGCAAATCCCGTCGAAGGGTGCGAGGATGACACAGCGAGGCCGTTGATGCCAAGCTGGCCGGGAGGGGCCTGTGGAGGTCGGGGACGGGCCCTGCGAGTCCTGTCCTGTCGCATTGATGGGAAGGGGCTGGTGTGACTGGAGGGGGGCAGGGGCAGGGACGAGCTGAGGCCGGGGCAGAGGACAGCGCTTGGCTTTTTGTCTGAGTCTGAGGTGAAGCCACTGAAAGCTGTTAAGGCAGGGGGTGATGTGGTCTAATTCCTGCTTGAAGACTGTTCCGGCTTGTGTGGGGAATGCGCTGGGGGGAGTGAGAGTGGAATAACTGGGGGGTCGTGCACATACTGCTCAATTTCACCCCCACCCCTATGAGAAAAGGCCACGCCCACTGACTCCCAGGATTGCTGTAGGAGACACTGGGTAGAGCCCCCACACTCCACAAACCCCGAGACAGGAAGAGAGGGTGGGGGCTGGGGGGACATGGCAGCTCCCCCCACCTCCCCATGGCGTCCTCCTGAGGCACTGGGCATGTGGGGTGCTGGGGGGCGTCTTCCATAGACTGAGTGAGCCCCTGGAGGGCCAAGTGCCCAAAACAGCATGCAGCTGTGTCTTCCACGGACCCCACAGGGCCTGGCGCCCCGAGTGTCTCACGCCCTGAATTCTGCTGGGGGAAGGCCCTGCCTTCGAGCCCTGCTGTTTGGGGACTGGGTTCTCCACAAACACAGAAGGGGTCTGTGTGATAAGGGGGTGCACACGGAGGGACCGCCTTCCTTTCCAGGCTTGCATGTGGGGGTGCGGGTGGCAGTGCCTCCTGGGAGTGCCACAGTCTCAGGCCGTCTCTCCTGGGGCCCAGGAAGCTGTGAGGGGCTTTCCCGTTGCCGCGGGAAGGGAGTGGGACACCTCCAGCTTCCATAACCCGCACACCCATTGCCTTTTTCATAGATGGAGAATGAACGGAATTCCAATACCTCAAAGCAGAGATACTCGGGGAAGGTCCACCTCTGCGTTGCCCGCTATAGGTAAGTGCGGCGTCTCTGCGTCCACTAAGCCCCTGTGAGTGGGGCAGATGAGATATTGGGTCTGGGAACACTCGGGGGGCTGAGAGGTTCCCTTCTCCCAGGGCACGAGAAGAAGGTGGGATTTCAGCCTGGTCTGGAGGCTGAGCAGAGTTCGGTGGAGAGAGTTTGGGTGGCACACAAGTCTCCCGGGGCTGCCATGACAGCAGGTCACAAACCTGGTGGCCTGAAACCACAGGTTTCTCCTCTCCCAACTCTGGAGGCAGAAGTCTGAGATGGGGGTATCGGGGGGGGTCTCACCCTCCGAGGGCTCCAAGGAGGGGTCCTTGCTTCTTCTGGCTGCCGGGAGCCCCAGTGGCCCTGGCTTGGAGCTGCGTGGCTCCAGTCTCTGCCTCCATCCTGCCCGGCCGCCTCCCTGTGCCTGTTTCTGTGTGTTCTCCCCACTTCCTTTAAGGATGCCCGTCCCTGGATTGGAGTCTGCCCCGCTGTGGTATGACCCAAGTCCATCACATTCGCAAAGACTGTGTCCAGATAAGGTCCCGTTCACAGGTGCAGGGGTTTGGCCATGAGTGTGTCTTTCCAGGGGACATCCCGCCAGCGAGAGTGAGAGGGGACGTGTCCAGAGCCCCAGTCTCCCGCCAGCGAGAGTGAGAGGGGACGTGTCCAGAGCCCCAGTCCCCGCCCCCGAGAGTGAGAGGACATGTCCAGAGCCCCAGTCCCCGCCCCCGAGAGCGAGAGGGGACGTGTCCAGAGCCCCAGTCCCCGCCCCCGAGAGTGAGGGGACGTGTCCAGAGCCCCAGTCCCCGCCCCTGAGAGCGAGAGGGGACGTGTCCAGAGCCCCAGTCTCCCGCCCCCGAGAGCGAGAGGGGACGTGTCCAGCACCCTGCTCTCCCGCATCCTCACCCTCTGCCGGGCGCTGCAGGCTGCATCTCGCTGCGATAACAGCCACTGAGTGGGCTTCCCTTGCAGGGGCCTTCAGTGCTCGTGCTCGCTGAGAAGTAACGAGAGCCAGTTTTGTCCCGCACACCTCTCGGGTCCTCCACGGGAGCCTCCGCAGGGTAGACATGGGCGGGGACGAGAGGTCCCCCAGGACTGCACTACCTGATTGAAAGGAGAGCAAGCTGCAGCCAACTCTGCCCGCAGGTGGACACTTGGGAATTCATCAGCCAGGGACAGCAGGCCCAAGACACAGCAGTTCGCCCCCATTTCCTCACACTCGGGAAGACCCAGCCTTTTGTCTCACAGATGCTCCAGCAGCTCTGAGTGCGGGCTTGGCCTCAGGCTGACCTGACGGTATTTCAGAGGCAGATATCCCTGCCCTTCAGCTGGCATCAGGCAGCCAGAGTCCCCCGTGATCTGTTTAGGGACCAAGCTTCAGTGTAGATCCCACCCTCACTAGATCCTTAAACTCTGCTCATGCAAAGGGGGTGACTCTTGATTTAAGCCAATTGGTACACCTCGAATACCTTTTGCTTTCTCCAGCGAGAGCTATTTCTAACAACCATTAAGAGGATCAGTGGATCATGTTCTGCTTGTTGGTAATGTGCCAATTTCACTGATGCAAACCCATTTCCGAGGTTCAGGTAGCAGAAGCACTGGGTAGCTGTCCCGGGGCTGTGGGATCCCCAGTTCGAATCCGGCCCGGGCAGACACGAATGCTGGTTGCACCCGGAGCGGGGCAGGCCCACCATCCACTCGTCTATCACGGTGCTGGAGGACAGCATCACAGCGCTGAGAGGCTATTGCACGCAGACACACAGGGCCACAGTCGGCGGGGCCAGGATGAAGACCCAGGCCCACCCCTGGCTCCCTCAGTCCCGTCCTTGCTGTGTGTGGAGCAGGTCCAGGCGCAGCCATTCACGGAACCCTCAATGCCAGCACAGGGGCAGCGCCGTCTGGTGTCCTCTGAGCCTGGCACATGCTGAGGTGGCTTCCAAGCCAAACAGAGGCCTGGCGCACCACAGACGCCTTCCTTTCTGATCATGAGTCTGGTCCAGCGAGGCTACCACATGTGACCTGCGATGGCCAACCTTACAGGGCCACTGGGCTCGTGTTCCTGCCACTTCTGTGGAGAGGGCATGGCTTATTCTGGGGGAGCTGCCCTAGAGCTAATGTCCCCCGAGGACTGACCCACGGCTGGTACGGCCCCAGAAGCGGGGACGCGACGAGCCTGCACATCTGCCTCTCCCGCGGCCATCACCAGCCATGGCCCACGCACATTCTCCTTATCTCACTCTTTCAGTGGCATTCCCGTTTTACTGGTGATGGATTTATGCCTTTTTTTTTTCCTGCCCAACCACCCTGAAACCAAACCAAGTCAAATTGTGAGGGGCATGTAGTGGCGGGTCCCCGAGAGAGCTGTTTCTGAGTTCTCTGGATGTCCTCAGAGCCCCTGAGAGGTGGCGTTGCCGGTAAATGTAGGTTCTGAGATTTCCGGATGTCCTCAGAGCCCCTGAGAGGCGGCGTTGCCGGTAGATGTAGGTTCTGAGTTCTCTGGATGCCCTCAGAGCCCCTGAGAGGTGGCTTCACAGCTAGATGTAGGTTCTGAGATTTCCGGATGTCCTCAGAGCCCCTGAGAGGTGGCTTTGCAGGTAGATGTAGGTACTGAGTTCTCTGGATGTCCTCAGAGCCCCTGAGAGGTGGCTTCGTCGGTAGATGTAGGTTCTGAGTTCTCTGGAGGTCCTCAGAGCCCCTGAGAGGTGGCTTCGCAGGTAGATGTAGGTACTGAGTTCTCTGGATGTCCTCAGAGCCCCTGAGAGGTGGCTTCGCAGGTAGATGTAGGTACTGAGTTCTCTGGATGTCCTCAGAGCCCCTGAGAGGTGGCTTTGCCGGTAGATGTAGGTTCTGAGTTCTCTGGATGTCCTCAGAGCCCCTGAGAGGTGGTGTTGCCGGTAGATGTAAGTGGCAGGGGGGTTGTGTTTTCCACCCTGAGTCTAATCAGTGTCTCCTCTTGCTGCTGTTATCCAGCCACCTGCTTAGACGTTTCTGCAAACCAAAAGCCTCCTGGGCGCTCACTCTGGGTGCCGAGCGGCCTCTCCCCACCTTCCATGCAGGGGCTGCCTCGGTGTCCACATCTCCTCCCTTTCATCCGGCGCAGTCTCCGCCACGAGGAATGCCTTGCTGAGGGCTCCTGGGGCCTTCCCACCCGAGGTCCAGGGTGAGGCTGACACATTCATCACCATCCTTCCTTTCGTCAGCTGTATGGTGAGATGGTCCTCACCACATAGTTCACCCATTTGCAGTGTGCTGCCCAGGGCCACTGCTGTGCTTGCAGATGCCACAGTCACATGTGGGAGGCTCCCGTTGCTCCCAAGGACCCATTTCTGTCTGTGATCACCCGTCCCTCTTCCCCCGCCTCCAGTGCTGAGTGACCCCTGATCTACCTCCGTCTCAATCGAGTCCCCATTCCCGACGTGTCCCATGGCTGCATCCATGCAGTACGTGGCAGCATCTGCCTGAGCACCCACAAGGTTGGGTGGCCTCCAGGGCCCACACGCAGGTGCACCCACGAGGTTGGCCATCATAGGTCGCATGTGGTAGCCTCGCTGGACCAGGCTCATGAGGAAAGGAAGGCGTCTGTGGTGCGCCAGGCCTCTGTTTGGCTGGGAAGCCACCTCAGCATGTGCCAGGCTCAGAGGACACTAGCCGGCGCTGCCCCTGTGCTGGCATTGAGGGTTCTGTGAATGGCTGCACCTGGACCTGCTCCACACACAGCAAGGACGGGACTGAGGGAGCCAGGGGTGGGCCTGAGTCTTCATCCTGGCCCCGCCGACTGTGGCCCTGTGTGTCTGCGTGCAATAGCCTCTCAGTGCTGTGCCACTGATGCATATCATTTTTATATCATAATTATAATATCACAGTGCCTGGCTATCTTCTCCAACTCTAATGTTATTTTCATTTTTAATGAATTACTCACTGTTATTTTTAATTAATTCACCTTTTATTTAGAAAATCCTCAATTCATCTGAATTTGTTTCATGTGTTTGATTTTCCAAGTTGGACACAGCTTTGAAAATTATGAATCCCAATATGCTGAGGACTGGAGAATATGGATACTCTTATATTCCTGGGGGTGGGGTGGGGGAGGGTAAAATCATGCACCTGTTTTTCTGAGCATTTTGACTATGCACACCCAAGACCTTAAAAATGTAGGTGCCTTTGACCAAATGTATTTCCTAGGATTTATCATTAGGAAGAAATTGTGGAAGTGTGCAAAAGTATGTTTATAAGAATATATAATGCAATACTATATTAGCCAAAAGTTAGAAGAAACCTTAATGCCCAACATTAGGAAACTGGTTAAATGAAGTATGTTAATATGTTCAGTGGAATACTCTACACCCATTTAAAAGGCTATGATAAAAATAGTATTTCATGAGGTAGAAGTACAGAATGCTATCTTTAAGGTGAAAGAATAAGCAGATTGCTAAATAGTGTATATGATTCTGTTTTCACTAAATTATATTATTGAAAGATTATGGGGTTAATTTTCTTCACATTTGCTTGTTAATTGGGAGATGTATAGTTACGTGAACAAAATGTCAGGATGATAAACCTGTTATCTGATGCAAAGAGTTCTGAGCATATAACTTTGTTTCAGAATTGCATTTTTACATTAAATCTATGTGTGTGAGCCGGCAGGGGCCTGGATTTCCACTGTACAGAGAACTCATCAGCCCCGAACGATCATGGGGGTTTGTAATTCCCTAGGAGTGGGAGAGAAGCCGTGTGCCCACCTGGCGTTCTGCGGGGGCAGGGGTGTGGGCTGTGTCCTCCAGAGCCTCTAATGAAGTGACTGTGTTTTCCCTGCAGCTACAACCCCTTCGATGGACCGAACGAGAACCCCGAAGCCGAGCTGCCCCTCACGGCGGGAAAATACCTCTACGTCTATGGAGACATGGATGAGGATGGGTTCTATGAAGGTCTCTGTTGGAACGTGGCTGTGATGGACGTAGGCTGGGCTGGTCCACCCCGCAAACCACTTCATCCAGGGCCCTGATAGACGGGCAGGGCTCCCACCGTACTCCCGGCTGCCCAGCCCTCCACTCTGACCCTTCCCCACTCCACAGTTACCAGGTTTCCCCTCTTTGATGACTGGAAAGAAACCTGAGTGGGGTTTCCAGTGTTCAGCTCCAGGTTGACCTCTGACACATGATAGATGTTTTCTGCTCATCTCTGCAGAGCTTTTGGCAGCTGTTCCCAGACGCACGGGGCTGATGGACCCTCTGCTTCCAGAAGGGTCTGTCCTGCTCTTGTCTTTCAACCCAGCTCCCTTGGGGTCTCCCAGAGGCATCCTCCTGGCAGAGCCTCATTCTGCTCCAGGTGATCTCATGGGAAGGTAGCCCTTGGTACCTGTGGAAGGCCATCCATCTCCTTGACGTTGAGGCACTGTTGTTAACTTAGGGGGTGACCCCAGGTCATCCCTGCTCATTCCCTCGAGGTCTTCTCTCCAAATTTGAAATCAGGGAATGTAAATCCTCCATCTGAAATGCCCCACCTTTCGTTGCCTTTTTAGCTTGAGAATAAACATGTAACAGCACCAGCAGTTCATAAATCAATGTTCTAAAGGGTTTGATTCCCTAATTCCCTACACATTTCAACTGCCCTGGACAAATAGCGTGGTCTTGGTTTCTTCCTCTTCCCCCTGAGCAGATGGAATCTTTCTTGCTGAGCTAGTTTCTCTTTCGTGACCTCATGCTGTTTTCTCAGAGCCAATGGAAGCCCTGGGTGCTTTTCCTGGGTGTTTAACTGGGGTAAGGTCGTGTCGCCTCTAGAGGTGTCCGTGAGCGGGAGCCCAGCAGGCGAGCTGCCTCGCTCACCACTCGCTCACCACTCGCTCACCAGCAGCTCTTCTTGGCTCTGGATTGTCCAGCCAAGAACTCTCACCACAACTGGTAGCAAAGCAATTTGAATTCTTCCCATAAGTCCACATTATCACCACTGATTTTCACATAAGCACAGAGATATGTGCCCAAGACAGCTGCCAGAGAACCTGTGTTGAAATCTCTGGAACTTTCTCGCCACGCATTGAGTCCACAGAAGCTTTCCAGGAGCCTCTTTGCAGGCAGGGATCAAAACTCAGGACTCCATTGTCCGTGTGACAGCAGGAAACTTCCTTCATCTGGCTGTGCCTCAGCTTTCTCTGCTATAGAATGGAGATAGTAATAGTACCCACCTCATAGAGGGTCTATGAGGATAAATGAGGTAATAGATATGAAGGTCTTAGGACAGAGCTTAGCGCACAGTGATTGTTCAATAAATAGTAGCTATCACTATCACCACCACCATTATAATCATCCTCATAATCACCATCACCATCTCATCACCACCACCATCATCGTCATCACCACCATCTCCTCCAAACTAAGGATTTTTAAATAGTGTATCCTCAGTGCAAAGGATTGACTCTTGCAGACCCAAACCCTAGGTGGAGGTTTGGAACTGAATCCAAGTCCTTCTTATTTATTTTTTTAGAATCCAGGACTAATTAAATGGTTGACATGTCTTCGCCTGGCCCACAACACATCACATGCTCCCCTGAGGCACAGGGTCTTTCGGGTGCAGAATTCAATGCTTGGCATTTCCCAGCCCCTCTCTGTGGGTCTGTGGATGCCTCGTGATGAATTGGGGGAAACGGTCCATTCTGGGTCTGTGCTGGGAGATTATCCAAATTGCTTCATCTTTGAAGCTCTGAACGCTTCTCCGTTTTCTGGCCATCTGCTGTTAGCAGCCTCGTGAGCCCTACTAATGAAGAAAGCACATAGAGTTTTACAAAATACGGCGGTCCCCACTACATCCACTCTTAGCCACAAGAGCTACTTGGACATTTTTTTTGCAACTCAACTTGTGGTTCTGACACCCAATTGATAGTTTTGTTTCACATCAAATTGGACACGTTGTGGAATCGTTAAGATGTGCCCAGTGCTTTTCAAGGGGGACAGGAAATCACCTTTTAATTCTTATACTCAAAAATCATAGTAAGATGTTTATTTTCTTAATCTCCAAAAGCCACTGAGTTGACTGACTCGTCCTTCTAACATATCTTTCCTGTGCACTGTTGTGAGCGAGCTGTCACTCTAGGGCTGGGCATTCAGTCGTTGTGAGATCCCTGCTGTCCCCGAGTATTGTTCGTGTTAGGAGGGGGTAGTCAGTGTAGGTACATGGACACACAAACATGACGGTTTCAGGTTGCGATAAATATCATGGAGAAAAGAAGACTGGGCCATGGGGCTGGAGGAGCTGGCTCTTTAGATGGTGGGTGTGGAGCTGGCCCCAGCATGGACTCCTGGGAACAGTGGAGGAGCCCTAGGGCAACCCTGTTGCTCTGCCTGATGATCCTGGTGGGGGAAGTGGGAGTACGCTGGGGGTCTCGGGGCCCCTGCTGTGTTGGCTGAGCGATAACTCTGTCCTTGTACCCAACAGGAGAGCTCCTCGATGGCCAGAGGGGTCTGGTGCCCTCCAACTTCGTGGACTTTGTGCAGGACAACGAGTCGCGGCTGGCAAGCACGCTGGGGAACGAGCAGGATCAGAACTTCATCAACCATTCTGGCATCGGCCTGGAGGGAGAGCACATCCTGGACCTCCACTCCCCAACCCATACGGACGCGGGCATCACTGACAACAGTGCCGGGACCCTGGACGTGAACATCGACGACATCGGAGAAGACATCGTGCCTTACCCTAGAAAAATCACCCTTATCAAACAACTCGCCAAAAGTGTTATTGTGGGCTGGGAGCCCCCGGCGGTGCCACCAGGATGGGGAACCGTGAGCAGCTACAACGTCCTGGTGGACAAGGAGACGCGCATGAACCTCTCCCTGGGGAGCAGAACTAAAGCCCTCATCGAGAAGCTCAACATGGCAGCCTGCACCTACCGCATCTCCGTGCAGTGTGTCACCAGCAGGGGCAGCTCGGACGCGCTGCAGTGCACGCTGCTGGTGGGCAAGGACGTGGTGGTGGCCCCCTCCCACCTGCGGGTGGACAACATCACGCAGATCTCCGCCCAACTCTCCTGGCTGCCCACCAACAGCAACTACAGCCACGTCATCTTCCTCAACGAGGAGGAGTTCGACATCGTCAAGGCCGCCAGGTACAAGTACCAGTTCTTCAATCTCAGGCCCAACATGGCCTATAAGGTGAAGGTTCTGGCCAAACCCCACCAGATGCCGTGGCAGCTCCCGCTGGAGCAAAGGGAGAAGAAGGAGGCCTTTGTGGAGTTCTCCACGTTGCCTGCAGGTGAGCCCTGTGTCCTTCCGTGGGTCCCCCAGGGCGAGAACACCAGGTTGTCACCCTGCTCGTGGGGAAAGAAGGTGGGGCAGGCAGAAGCCGCAATCCCCATCCCGACAACATGACCCTGGAAAATCCCTTAGGTCACCCGTGAAGCACAGGACGTGTGTGCGTGCACGCGCGCGGGAGTCCTTGGAGCATGTTGGGGACCATGTTGGCAGTTTTTCTTTGAGTACTTGCATCAGCAAGAGACTCATCCTACAAAAGACAGGAGGGAAGTGAGTCCCCCCAGGGAACATGGTTGCATCTTCTGTGTCACATGCACCCCCGGACACATACTCATTGAGTGGGATAGTGCCTGGAAGTGCCTACACGCCTCTCGGAATCATTCCTTCTTTCTCGTCCTTGTAAATAATAACAATTATTATTATTATTATTATAAATATATTATTATTATTATTATTATTTTGAGATGGAGTCTTGCTCTGTCACCCAGGCTGGAGTGCAGTGGTGCAATCTCGGTTCACTGCAACCTCCTGATTTCAAGCGATTCTCCTGCCTCAGCCTCCTGAGTAGCTGGGATTATAGGCATCTGCCACCACACTTGGCTAATTTTTGTATTTTTAGTAGAGATGGGGTTTCACCATGTTGGTCAGGCTGGTCTTAAACTCCTGACCTTATGATCTGCCTGCCTCAGCCTCTCAAAGTGTTGGGATTACAGGCGGGCGCCACTAAGCATGCATACGATGCACACGACACCTACATGGCTTGTATAAAAGAGACACGTTTCATCACAGAAGGTATTTTCTCCGCGATGTAAACTCCAGGGTCCTTTTCTGCTTCCTCTGCTCAAACGGGGAGTGTGATGTGCCCCCTTCCTTTCCTGGGGAGACGGCAGGGAGGTGGGATGAGTGTGGACACCTTCGTCGTCTCGCTCTCCGACTCGCCAGGGTCCCAGTGCTGCTGAGTTACTGGGCAGCGGCATCCCCACCTCCGGAAGCCTCCACTGCCCGCTCTGGTATTCATGAAACCTTTGGTTAACTAGAGCCTGACAGAGCAGTGGTGTCAGGGGTAGGTGGGACTGACGCTGCCTGAGGGGAACGGCACGTCCGGGGGGACAGACGCTGCCTGAGGGGGACGGCACGTCCGGGGGGACAGACGCTGCCTGAGGGGGATGGCATGTCCAGGTAGCAGCTAACGTAGGCAGGGTCAGTTCATCTGTGTTACACGCGACATTTTATTTCCTCCCCAACTGCCCGGAGTTGATCAAGAATGCCGGGCTAATGAGGCCACCTGCTCTTCACGGATGCCTCCTGCGATGAATTCTGATGAGTGCTGGGGGTGAAGAAAGAGAAACACCAGACACGGGCACTCCACGGGGAGTCAGGAGGTAAAGGGCACATCTCCTGGGGCCTTCAGGAAAGGCCCTGGAACTGACTTTGAGATGGAGAGAGTCAGGTAGAGGAGGAGCCCTTAGCACAGAGGTGGGTCCCCAGGCTCACCCCAGTGACTGGGAACAAGGTCTCAGAGTGGGATGTAAACTGGAGGGACATGTCTGTGTTGGAGGAAGAGGGTGTAGTTGGGACAATCACACATAGGTCAGCATTTCTCAGAATTCATGTCCAACCACACCCCATGTACCATCCGCCATGGTCTTGGGTACGGCCAGGGTTAGCCATGCCCGGGGACGGTGGTGCAGATACAGCCAGGGTTAGCCATGCCCGGGGACAGTGGTTCAGGTACGGCCAGGGTTAGCCATGCCCAGGGATGATGGTGCAGGTACGGCCAGGGTTAGCCATGCCCAGGGACGCTGGTGCAGATACGGCCAGGGTTAGCCATGCCCAGGGACGGTGGTGCAGGTACGGCCAGGGTTAGCCATGCCCAGGGATGGTGGTGCAAGGTTGGGGTTCTTCAGAGTAACACAGCTGGTGGGAGATATGGATGTGCTTATACTCACACACATCCCACATACACACAGCCCCACAGACCCACATACACAAGTACATATACACATACCCACAGACACCCCCACAGACCCACATACACAAATACACATACACCCCCACACACGGGCCCACAGACACCCCCACTGACCCACATACACAAATACACACCCACAGACACCCCCACCGACACCCCCACAGACCCACATACACTCACACACACCCCCACAGACAGCCCCACAGATCCACAGACTCGCACACACATATAGACACACACAAATACACACTTATACATACATACACACCCACAAACACGTATACCCATAAACACATATATACATACACATGCATCCACATACACCTGCATACACACACGCCCACACATCTACACACATACATACACTTACATCTATACACACACATATACACACATACACACATGCACACACACATACGTACACATGAACATACACATCCACAAACACACCCACATATACACACATATGCACACATACACACATATACCCATACATACACAAACATTTACACACACACACGTATACACACACGCAGAAATGGATTCTCAGGTTCAATGATGTCATCAGACCTGGTCTCTTCATCTTCAGTTTTGCTCAGTTTCATGGTGCGGTAAGATGGGGAATGTGAGGTCCAGGGCAGAGGGTAGAGGGAGAGAAAAGAGAGAAGGAAAGGTGAGAGGACCAGGGCAGGCAGGGGGATGGGGGATTGCTTTCCGCCAAGATCTCTCTTCTGTTTGATCTGCCAAATGCCGGCATCTCATTGGCCCCCTCTGAGCTAATCGTGTGGCTGCCTGGCCAGGCCTGAGACCCCTGGGCAGAGGTGGCTCTGCCGGGTCACAGAGACTGAGGACAGGTAAGGAGATGGTTCCACAGACAGTTCAGGTTTGCATTTCCCAGAAGATGGTGACTAAATGCCGAATTTAAAGGAAAAGGGCAGCTGTGCATCCTGGTATCTGAGTGTACCCTGGCCCCACCGTCCCACCTCACCACAGTTTCTGATGTGCTGTCAACACTGTGTCTTCTCTTTTTCCCTGGTGACTTTACTGAATGATCTTGTTTTCAGGTGAGATGGGTGGAGCCCAGTCATGGCTCACCTGCCAGGGCTGAGCCCTCAACGCCTCCGTTCCCTTCTGTCCCCTCCCAGGCCCCCCAGCACCCCCACAAGATGTCACTGTCCAGGCTGGGGCAACCCCCGCCACCATCCGGGTCTCCTGGAGACCACCCGTGCTGACGCCCTCCGGGCTGTCCAACGGCGCAAACGTTACCGGCTACGGCGTGTACGCCAAAGGGCAGAGGGTGAGTTTTCATTGGGTCCGGCGGGGGCGGGGAGCTCGTTAGGCTCTAGTGCAGCTGGGATGGGCCCGGTATTTGCTCAGTGAAGGAGGCAGGGCCTGCTCCTCCAGCCCTGATCACTGGAGGCACCCTCAGCCCCGAAGACTCCATCACTGTACTAAGCACCACCCACCCCACCCCAAGGCCCCTTCCTCATTTCCAGCATTCCCCCCACCTCCCTCCCCTCACTCATCCCCTTCCCTGCTCTGCTGTGTATTAAAAATGCAGGGGCCAGAGAGGGGACCCCCAGTATCAGAGCATTCTTGACTGATGACTGTCTTATTCATTTCAACAAACTGAGTCTTAGCAAGATGATACCCATGGCCGAAGGCACGTCCCACCTTGAAACACTGCTGGGTCTGCACGTTAACAGGTGGCCAGGCCTTGACTCCAAGAAATGGGTATATCCCTGGTGCCTGGTGTAGGGAACCACGGACACCAGCCCCCTAGCCCGGCCTGGGGTGAAGTAGAAGCGTCTGCCCTCAGGGAGGGCTTGGAAAAGCAGCTGCTCCTCGCCGCTGTCCCCAGCTCTGCCCTGCGGGAGCAGGGGTGACTTGGAAACAGAGGCAGCGCGTCTGCCTGAGCCGCTTCCAGCTGACTCGTGTGCTCTGAGGCAGGAAGCCCCCAGCATGGGCCCTGGCCCCTGCAGAGGAGCCCTCAGCCCTGCTGTCTCCCAGCAGTTGGAAGCCCACGTTGGCCTCTGCCTGAGCCCCTCTCTCCCCTCCGGCTGTGGCAGTGTTAAACCTGACACTCGCCCCCGTCTCTGGCCGCTGCGTCTACTCAGAATGGGTCCAGAGGATGGGAGATAAACAGTTGACGTCACTGGCCTCACGGAACCCCTCCCACTGACTGGGTCCTGGTGCCTGAGGTCTGTGAACCTGTCCCTGCCCCCTCCCCGCAAGACTTCCTGGAGCTTCCATATCTGGTGGGTGGTTGGAGTTGGAGATTGCTGGGGGTGATCCTTTGCACCGGGCATCTGGGCAGACGACTGGCCGGCTCCCCATGCAGGACCGCGGGGCTCATCTCAGGCAGCCCGCGAGCCTGCTCTGCTTGTCCACAGGTGGCTGAAGTCATCTTCCCCACGGCAGACAGCACGGCCGTGGAGCTCGTGCGGCTGCGGAGCCTGGAGGCCAAGGGCGTGACCGTGCGGACCCTCTCCGCCCAGGGCGAGTCCGTGGACTCTGCAGTTGCTGCCGTTCCCCCCGAGCTCCTGGTGCCTCCTACCCCCCACCCAAGACCTGCACCCCAATCAAAGCCATTAGCAAGTTCTGGAGTCCCCGATACCAAAGACGAGCGCCTGGGTCCCCACGCCAGGATGGACGAGGCCTGGGAGCAGAGCCGTGCACCTGGCCCTGTGCATGGGCACACGCTGGAGCCGCCCGCAGGCCCCGGAAGGCGGTCGCCCTCACCCAGCCGCATCCTGCCGCAGCCGCAGGGCACCCCAGTGTCCACCACCGTCGCCAAGGCCATGGCCCGGGAGGCCGCACAGAGGGTGGCTGAGAGCAGCAGGGTAAGGCTGAGGCTCCCACTTCAGTGACTCCTCAGTCCCCGAGCCCCATGGGACGGGGCCCTGTCATCTCCCCAGCCCACGGAGGGGGACCGCATCCCAGCTTGCCGGGAGGGGGGCCACGCTCAGCCCGTAGCTTTGCTGGTGCACTCTGTCATGTGCCTGATCCTGATTGAGTTAAATGGTGTTTTTTATTTACGAATATGTAGCCACATAACTAAGGAAATGCCAGGCGCTTGCCTGGCTTAGAAAGCAGGCTCAGAAAAATCCAGACAAGGGTCTTGGTGTGCGACAAGGGATCTGAGAGTTGTCCGGTGGAAGTTGGCCGGGACCCAGTTTCCCGAACCGGGCTCTTCCTGGTTTTGCTGGCTGCAGAGTCCTAGGTTCTGTGTGTGTGTGCATGTAAATATGTACACACACATGCACACATGTGTCTATACATGTATGGACATGCACCCACAGATACACGTATCTGTATGTGTCCTCACATGCACATCTGTATCTGTGTGTAGAAACACATGTGGGCATACAGGTCCCTGCGTACATACTTGCATGCCTGCTAACTGAACTTTTCTGGGTCCAGGAGAGAGCATTTGGATTGTGGTAGGGCCATGTTCCAGATGACACGTGCAATGGGACGTGAATTTTTGAGAAACTGCCGGCAGAGTAATGCCTCCTGTGCAGGGCTTGCGGGGGAGATGTGGGGCTGGGAGCCAGACCGTGTGTCCGCACCCCCACCCAGAACCCAGTCTTGTCTCTCCTGCTGTGTTGAGCCCATTTCCACCTGAGGCGGCAGCACAGCCCTGGTCAGGGCCCTCGGCCCTGCTGGGTCAGCCTGTGGGGTCTCACCAGGACCCTACACCATCCTCCTGTGAGCGTTCCTCTGGGCTGGGGGCCAGGCCAGGGAAACTGAGGCGGGGCACGCACCCTGAGAGGTCAGTGCTGAGCAGCAGCTCAGGTGTGTCTAGGAGGACAGAGAGGATGACGGTGACACTGGGCAGGGAGCCACCTTCTCCGTGGCTTGAAAAACTGGAAATCTTCTGTGAAATTTCCTAATTCTTTCAACATTGGCCACTAATAAAAATACTAAACATGAATTTGTGGCCTTTGTGTAAAGGAAACCCCCCTTCAGAATATGTGAATTCACCATGGCTCTGATTGGCTGACAGGCAGGAGCCCAGGCCCCGGGCTTGGGAGACGGTACTTCTGGGGAGGCCGTGGGCAGGACGGGGTAGCAGCTGCCCTGTGGGATGTGGCTCCACTCCTGCTCCAGGTCCCCAAGAAGGCTGTGAAGGCAGGGAAGTCTAGGAAGCCTGGGAAGCCTGGGGCCGGAGAGGAAGCAAATCCTTCCAAGTCCTGTGTTTCAGACAAATGTGAATTGGTCAAAGTATTTAAAAAAGCTGGGCAGAGGGGACCAATGGAGGGAATGAGGTGTCATCTCTGTATCCAAATATTACCTCAAAGGTTAAAAAGAGGCCGGATGCGGTGGCTCATGCCTGTAATCCCAGTAGTCTGGGAGGCTGAGGCGGGTGGATCACCTGAGCTCAGGAGTTTGAGACCGGCCTGACCAACATAGTGAAACCCCGTCTCTACTAAAAATACAAAAATTAGCCAGGCGTGGTGGTGGGCACCTGTAGTCCCAGCTACTTGGGAGGCTGAGGCAGGAGAATCGCTTGAACCTGGGAGTCAGAGGTTTCAGTGAGCTATGATCATGCCACTGCACTCTAGCCTGGGTGACAGAGTGAGACTCTGTCTCAAAAAAAAATCTAAAAAAAGATTCTGGTGGGTCTGGGGCAGCGAGAGGGTGGCAGAGCTGGGCCCAGAGCACTGTGTGGGGGGCGCCTGGCCAGGCTCTGAGGGGCGGAAGGTTTGGCGAGTGCAGGTGGGGCTGAGTGTGGCTGAAGGTGGCCCTGCCTCACCCGTGTGCCTCCTTTCTCTTTCCAAGTTAGAGAAAAGGAGCGTCTTCCTAGAGAGAAGCAGCGCAGGGCAGTATGCCGCCTCGGATGAGGAGGACGCCTACGACTCCCCAGACTTCAAGAGGAGGGGCGCCTCGGTGGACGACTTCCTGAAAGGCTCTGAACTCGGCAAGCAGGTGAGTGCGGGCCAGACCCCACACCGTCCTCTTGGTCGGCATGGGCTCGGAGCAGGCCCTGTGGAGATCAAGAGACGTGGGCACTTTTCCCCGCTACCCTTGGGTCCCTAGAGAGATGGAGACGCCCAGCTGGGGTCCCAAGTCATGCTAGATTTCTTAAGTTTAGGTTTAATGATGCCTGTCACATACCCTCATTGGAGATAATTGAAAAAGTCGAGGTGCAGGGCTTCCACCCGCCCCCACTGCGCCATCCTGGTATTTGGTCATGGGGGTGGTTTTGCAGGTCCTGGTAGGGTTAGGCTCAGTTCAGGCAGAACCTGCCATTCGCTCATTCACCTCCGTTAATCGGGCAGATGTTTGTTGGACATCTGTGTGCTAGGGAGGCATCATGGGAAACAAAATAACATGGCCAGTGTTCATGTGTCCTCACATGCACATCTGTATCTGTGTGTAGAAACACATGTGGGCATACAGGTCCCTGCGTACATACTTGCATGCCTGCTAACTGAACTTTTCTGGGTCCAGGAGAGAGCATTTGGATTGTGGTAGGGCCATGTTCCAGATGACACGTGCAATGGGACGTGAATTTTTGAGAAACTGCCGGCAGAGTAATGCCTCCTGTGCAGGGCTTGCGGGAGAGATGTGGGGCTGGGAGCCAGACCGTGTGTCCGCACCCCCACCCAGAACCCAGTCTTGTCTCTCCTGCTGTGTTGAGCCCATTTCCACCTGAGGCGGCAGCACAGCCCTGGTCAGGGCCCTCGGCCCTGCTGGGTCAGCCTGTGGGGTCTCACCAGGACCCTACACCATCCTCCTGTGAGCGTTCCTCTGGGCTGGGGGCCAGGCCAGGGAAACTGAGGCGGGGCACGCACCCTGAGAGGTCAGTGCTGAGCAGCAGCTCAGGTGTGTCTAGGAGGACAGAGAGGATGACGGTGACACTGGGCAGGGAGCCACCTTCTCCGTGGCTTGAAAAACTGGAAATCTTCTGTGAAATTTCCTAATTCTTTCAACATTGGCCACTAATAAAAATACTAAACATGAATTTGTGGCCTTTGTGTAAAGGAAACCCCCCTTCAGAATATGTGAATTCACCATGGCTCTGATTGGCTGACAGGCAGGAGCCCAGGCCCCGGGCTTGGGAGACGGTACTTCTGGGGAGGCCGTGGGCAGGACGGGGTAGCAGCTGCCCTGTGGGATGTGGCTCCACTCCTGCTCCAGGTCCCCAAGAAGGCTGTGAAGGCAGGGAAGTCTAGGAAGCCTGGGAAGCCTGGGGCCGGAGAGGAAGCAAATCCTTCCAAGTCCTGTGTTTCAGACAAATGTGAATTGGTCAAAGTATTTAAAAAAGCTGGGCAGAGGGGACCAATGGAGGGAATGAGGTGTCATCTCTGTATCCAAATATTACCTCAAAGGTTAAAAAGAGGCCGGATGCGGTGGCTCATGCCTGTAATCCCAGTAGTCTGGGAGGCTGAGGCGGGTGGATCACCTGAGCTCAGGAGTTTGAGACCGGCCTGACCAACATAGTGAAACCCCGTCTCTACTAAAAATACAAAAATTAGCCAGGCGTGGTGGTGGGCACCTGTAGTCCCAGCTACTTGGGAGGCTGAGGCAGGAGAATCGCTTGAACCTGGGAGTCAGAGGTTTCAGTGAGCTATGATCATGCCACTGCACTCTAGCCTGGGTGACAGAGTGAGACTCTGTCTCAAAAAAAAAAAAAAAAAAAGATTCTGGTGGGTCTGGGGCAGCGAGAGGGTGGCAGAGCTGGGCCCAGAGCACTGTGTGGGGGGCGCCTGGCCAGGCTCTGAGGGGCGGAAGGTTTGGCGAGTGCAGGTGGGGCTGAGTGTGGCTGAAGGTGGCCCTGCCTCACCCGTGTGCCTCCTTTCTCTTTCCAAGTTAGAGAAAAGGAGCGTCTTCCTAGAGAGAAGCAGCGCAGGGCAGTATGCCGCCTCGGATGAGGAGGACGCCTACGACTCCCCAGACTTCAAGAGGAGGGGCGCCTCGGTGGACGACTTCCTGAAAGGCTCTGAACTCGGCAAGCAGGTGAGTGCGGGCCAGACCCCACACCGTCCTCTTGGTCGGCATGGGCTCGGAGCAGGCCCTGTGGAGATCAAGAGACGTGGGCACTTTTCCCCGCTACCCTTGGGTCCCTAGAGAGATGGAGACGCCCAGCTGGGGTCCCAAGTCATGCTAGATTTCTTAAGTTTAGGTTTAATGATGCCTGTCACATACCCTCATTGGAGATAATTGAAAAAGTCGAGGTGCAGGGCTTCCACCCGCCCCCACTGCGCCATCCTGGTATTTGGTCATGGGGGTGGTTTTGCAGGTCCTGGTAGGGTTAGGCTCAGTTCAGGCAGAACCTGCCATTCGCTCATTCACCTCCGTTAATCGGGCAGATGTTTGTTGGACATCTGTGTGCTAGGGAGGCATCATGGGAAACAAAATAACATGGCCAGTGTTCGTCCTTCAGAACAGCAAAACGTCAGAGCTGGGCTCACGAGGAAGACATTCAGCCAGTGTGGGGTTTCTGTCTAATTTCCGATCATGCGTATTCTAATGGAAATGCCCTCGGATGCTGTAAAGAACAAAACTTGGACAACAGGAGCAACTGGAAATAACCGAGGGCCTGGGGAATGCTCCATCTTGGGAGCTCAAAGACGCTGCAGATATCAGATCCTCTGTACCCACTCCCACAGCAAAACAGCCCCATACCCAGAGAGGGGGACTGGCATCTCTCAGACCTGGGTTTATGTCCCGGCTGGTTACAGACCACAAGTGGGCAAGTCCCCTGACTGCTCCAGCCATGATGGTCTTCATCTGGAAGATCCAAATCATTCAGAAACGGAATGTCCAACTAATCACGGCTAAGACGACAAAGACGTTTAATTACCCCACATCACAGGAAGTCTGCAGTAGAGGCTGCGAGGTGGATTTGGCTCTCAGTGTGTCAGGGGTCTGGGTTCTGTCTCTTCCATTCTCTTGGCCTTTCTCTCATGGTTACAAAGTGGCTGCCATAGCTCCAATAATCGCACCCTCCTATGAGAGAACCCCAAGAAGGAAAAAAGGGATGAATGGAAGCCAGACTTCCTTCTAGTCGGACTTCCCATGATATCTCGCTGAGCAGACTGAGGTCGCATGGCCACCACCCAGGCAGGAACTGGATTCCAATGAATGGCTTATCAGCGACGTGTCATCCAAAGGCCCACCAGCGTGGCTCAGTGGTAGAAAGGAGAGCTTTATTGGAGAGGCTCTGGTGCGTGCTGAGGGTGCTGTCTCTGAAGAGGGAAGGGCAGGGTGGTTTTTGTGCCTCACAGGGTCCACATTACACAGAACCATAGGCATTCAGGTTGGGGAAAAGCTGTCCATCCGTCCGAGAGGAGTCACACACACACATGCAGTGAGTAGACGTATCTGTAGCATCCTCCATGCGCACCGCACCTGGGGCGGGGTTTTAGTGTTAGAATGAGGTGGAATTGGCTCTTCCCACCAAAAGGTGAACCCCAGGACTCAACGCCTAGGCTAAAATGGGCCTAAGCCTCTTTAAGCTGAAACTGGCTTCATGTCTCCAGTCGCTTGTCAGAAAAGAGTGTGTGTAAGGCCGGTCCTCTGCCCAGCTGGAGTTGCGTGGTCTGGGTTGTAAATGAGAGTTAGGAGGAGTCCCACAGCTTCTGTTGTTGGGGAGTTTAGCAAGAGTGTGGGTTTTCTTGCAGCATAGGAATTTCGAGAGCAGCCATGCCAGCCAGGCCTTGACCCCTCGGCCCCAGGTATCTTTTATTTCCCTAACCTTAGGGGCCATCTCAGTAGAGAAAGGTATCTGTTTTGGTTGCTTGGGTCACAGATGATTCATTCTCTTGGTGCTGGTCCCTGGGTGAGTTCTGGAGATAGGATTTCTGTTGACTGTTGTACTGGTCTGCTGGGGCTGCCATCACAGAATACCACAGATTAGGTGGCTCAAACAGCACGAGTCTGCTTCTCACAGTGCTGGGGGCTGGAAGTCCAGGACCGAGGCACCAGCAGGGCTGGTTTCCCCTGAGGCCTCCCTGAGGCCTGCAGATGGTGCCTTCTTCCTGAGTCCTCACGTGGCCTTTACTCTGTACATCCCTGGTACCTTGTCCTCTTTTTGTAAGGAAAACAGTCCTGTTGGATTAGGGCCCTACCATCATGATGTCATATAATCTTAATCACCTTTTTAAAGAGCCTGTCTCCAAATAAAGTTACATTGGTGGTTAAGGTTTCAACCTCTGAATAGGGCGGGGTGGGGAAATACAGCTTAGTCCATAGCAAATGTGGAGCCAGCAACACTTGCCACAATAGCACAGGTTTATGAGGCTTTCCGTGTGTTGCATGACACACAAAATGCAACTGGCATGTAGTAAGTTCTCAGTAAATGTGAGCTCTTATTTTGTGTGTACAGGGAAACTGAGGCACATAGAATTGAGAATTTTTGTCCATGATTATGCAGATGGTCTTCTAACAGAGCTGGAATTAGATTGAACCGAGGCCTGCAGAAGACCTGTTTCCATGCCTTTCCCAGTGTGCCCTGTTTTCCACCTACCCAGGAGTGAATCATTACCTTCCCTGCAATCTGCTCAGGTTTTGGACCCAGATGAAAGGCTGGAGCACTTGTTCTGTGGGTGTGGGACCCACATCCCCACTGGTTTTTGAGATTGGCATTCAGCGCTGTCTTATGGCAGCCATAGCCCCAGGTGGCCACAGAGCCCTGGACATGTGGTCACCTGGGGCTGAGTGTGACTGAGGCCCTGAATTTTTACTTCTATAAAATTAGTTACAGATTAGTTTACATTCTAATTAGTTTACATGTAAACAGCCACACATGGCTGGTGGCCACCACTGCTGACGCCCAGCTCTGGATGACCACACCTGCTGCAAGAGATGACTTTTCTAGAGAAGAGTAGAAATACAGCAGCAGAAACACAGCTCTGCACTTTCAAGGGCCTTCCAGTCCTTCTGATGAGCCTGTAGAGGAAGTCTGTCTGGCTAAGCATGCTATTAACGTTGTCGTGCTTGTTTCCTTTTTTAACAGAGCAAACAGGTCTGTTTCTATTAAAATTTAAAAAGCATTAATATTTAGCAGCATTGTTTTATGCTGTATTCATTTAGATGACAAGTGACACTTGTTTTCCATTTACAGTTGAGATATTTTCTGTAAAAGTAACATTAAATATTGATTCAATTCAAAGAATACATTCATTAATCATACGGATGACATCTGGCTAGGTGACGCATCATGATGGTGGCAGGGAGTGACTGAAGTTGAGCTGGTACACAGACCGCTGGTTTTACAACCCGGGAAGCATTTCCTGACCACCTGCTTCCCCACGCTGCCCGCCCCGTCACACGTACCCTTACCCCGGCGTTATCCCATCTGCCCCAAGACACTGACGTTCTAGCAGGCGGAAGCCTCCACTTTTAGTTGACTATTATAGTATCTCTAGCATTTCATACATAGTAGGTGCCCAATGAATGTTTGTCGAATGAATGAATGAAAGAAGTGAGGCTGAGGGTAGCTGAGACATTTGCTCTGAAAAAATCACCTCCATTCTCCCAATATTTTAAATACATTTCCATTCAGTCCACAGTGAGAAATGCTCGCTATACCAATAAATAATATCTTTATCTATTTTTAAAAGTGTTTCATTGACAAAGACCGTGTGTGTTCCAGGTGTACGTCTCTTGATGACTGGATGTGGGTACCCACTGTGTAAAGACTGTCACGCACGGCTGAGTGTGGTGGCTCAAGCCTGTGTTCCCAGCACTTTGGGAGGCCAAGGCGGGTGGATCACTTGAGGTCAGGAGTTTGAGACCAGCCTGGCCAACATGGTGAAACCCCGTCTCCACTAAAAATATAAAAATTAGCTGGGCGTGGTGGCAGGTGCCTGTAATCCCAGCTACTCAGGAGGCTGAGGCACGAGAATTGCTTGAACCTGGGAGGTGGAGGTTGCAGTGAGCCGAGATCGTGACACCACACTCCAGTCTGGGCAACAGGGTGAGACTCGGTCTCAAAAAAAAAAAAAGTCTGTCCCAGTCAGGTGAATTAATACATCTGTCATTGCCCATGCTGAACACGAGGCCCGCAGAACCTGCTCTGCGTGTAACTGAAACTCTACCCTTATTAAATCTAAGGAAAGAGGCTTTTAAGAGGAATTTGTGATTTTTAGTTTGGCAAAAGAAAAGGTGGTTTGCCAAGTGACAAGACTGAAGTTTGCTATAGTGATGATCAAAATCCTGTCTTGTGGAGGCTTTACCTCAGCTTCTCTATAAGTGAAATTTATAGCCACAGGCCTGCTGGATGCGGGGCTCAGCACCTCCCCTATCCCCAGGGAGGGCCATCTGCCTGCCGGCATTCTCCACCGAGGACTGGAGGTAAAGCCGCGTGTCCCCCAGGAGAAGGCACCCGCCAGGTGGAGTTTCTAAGGCCATGTTCTCTGTCAGCAGAGGCAAGGGCAGACCTGGACTCTGGTCTCAGCCTTGTTGTTTACTTGCTGAGTGCCTTCGGCCAGTCACTAGACATCTCGCTGAAATGCTGGCGACCTTTGCTTAGAACACTATTCCAGGAGTGGAGAGACGGCTGACCTCAAGCATCTGGTGAACGCCAGACGCCTCCTTCCGTCTCAGGAGTTGACCCCTAGCTTGCTGCTGGGGTTGAACAAAGTGAGACTGTTCTGTGGTGCAGGAAGTCCCTTGCCAGCGGCCTTGGGAGGGCCTCGTTAGACACAGCCTCACCTTTTTCATCCATTTAAACCCAGTTTGCTTTCATGCCTTCCACTTGGAGCCTGGTTGGAAGCGTTAGGCCTGGTGCAGCTGAGAGGCTGGTGTTACAGATTGCCCAGCCGAGGCCCTTCCCATCCTCCCTCCCGCGGGCTCGGGGCCAGAAACCTTCCATCTGCAGTGCCATGCAGCCTCCCTCAGCAGGCCAGGAACTGACCGTGATGCCCACGCATACACATCTTCATCTAGGTTAGTCACTGAAGCCAGATTTTTTTAAGCTAAATACGTCACAGAATGCTATTGAATACTTCTGTCTTGCCACACCCCCGCAAAATAAACTGTTCCCAATCGACACCATGTAGCAAAAACACAGTATCTTTATGGATGTATTGCATTCATAAATCTGAGTGCATGAGAGCGTGTAGTTTGAGTTGTTGAAGGTTTGCTTTGAATACCGTTACCACGAGACGGGGTGCTTTCTCTGTGAGTGGAAACCAGAGGCTGCTGCTGGCACCATCACTGCGAGAGTCCACCCGGCCTGTTGCCGTCTCCAAGCTGGCATGTTACCAGGTAGCCGCTTCATTTAAAGACACTTTTTTTGTTGAAGCCTTTAAGCTGTCCGCAGCCTCCGCCCAGTGCCCCTACTATCTGCACAATCTTCATCTCGTGCTGAGGCCGAGCTGGGCCTGTAGTGAGCACACGGTCTGTGCGGCGCGGCGGCTCCACCTCCTGCCAGGCCAGGCTGTCTGCCAGTGTCTGCGCGTGTGTGTTAGACAACGTGGCATGTTTTAAAAACCGAAGTGCCTTTTTATGGTGCATATACACCCCACCTTACCACTATCCCCCTGCCCCTCTGACACAATGCTGGATCCGGTGTACACCTGGTGTGCACTGATCCTCACTGTCACCAGAGTTTGCAGCCTTTGTCCAGCCAATAAGTTGGAGAAGCTGAGGGTGCCCAGAAATGGACATTCTGCCCACGTATTTTGTAAGCCCCAGTGGGTTTTCTGTCTTGTCCAGAGCTCAGGTGTTTCTGTACCTGTTGGAGCTGAGAGACCTGCGCTGATCCTGTCTCTGCCACTTCAACAGAGAGGGTGGGTATATCCTCTCCCAGCCTCACTTTCCAGAACGAGTAACACACCCTGTGCCCATCTCTAGGCCTGTGAACCCCGAGAGTCAGCAAAGCAGGGAAAGGGTTGGCAAGCTCAATCTGGCCTCCTCTAGGATGCGGAAGGAGCCATCCACTCAGTAGCCCCTTTTCTTGGCCCCCAGCCGCACTGTTGCCATGGAGACGAGTACCACACGGAGAGCAGCCGGGGGTCTGACCTCTCAGACATCATGGAGGAGGACGAGGAGGAGCTGTATTCTGAAATGCAGCTGGAAGATGGGGGAAGGAGGCGTCCCAGCGGCACGTCCCACAATGCCCTCAAGGTGAGTGGCCGGGGAAGGGGGACCCTGCACTCCGTCCCCAGGGTAGCTCCATCCACGTCCCTTTGCTGGGGCTGGTGAGGCAGGCTCCAGAGGGGCCTTGCCCTACAACCAGTAGCCCTCGGATTTGGATTCGCTTCTTTCTCACTATTGAATCTGCATTCGGGAATTACCTACACTCCGGTCTTGCTCTTGGCCAAAAGGTCTGGGTAAAGGAGTTTAGAGGAATCCATTTGACACCCTCCAGGGGGCACCCAGCTCTGTGCCAGCAACAGGAGTGGGGGGAATAGAACAAAGAAGACCCACCTCCGCAGCCTTAAGTCTCACCTTGAGAGAATCGGCAGCTGAGAGAGCGTGAATCAGCCTCTAAATCTAAAGCAGAGGTCGGGACGCTGTGGTCAGCAGGGAGCTCCTTAAAGGAGGGCACTCTGGTGGCCCTGCCTGGCGGTGGGCAGGAGTCAAGCACAGTGAGGTTGGAGGAGATGGGTGTGGAGGGAGGGCTGTCCCGCATCTGATCACACCGGCCTCGCAGATTGGAGGCTCCATGCACCTACTCAGACCACCTCCCGCTAGACCCTCTCCCTTCTGCTCCGGCAGAGGCCATCAGCAAGGGGTCGACGGGAGATTGCCTGCAGGAATATTGAGCTCGAGGCACCCTAGAGCCAAGGAGGGTGGGTTTCCCAGCCACGTGGCTTCCCCTTGGTCCTGGCCTTGGGGAGACGTTTGCCACTGCTGCTGCAGCCGCTGGCCAGTGTCTGACTCCTGCGTTCATGTGCTCTGCAGGGCGGTGCGGGATGACCAGCTCTATGCACCAGGCCCTGTGCTAGGCCGAGGGGTGCCCTCTGCAGGTCCCAACCTAATGGGGAGACAGACAAAGAGCAAGCCATGGGTAGGAGCTTTGTGGGTTTTCCAAATGGAAAAGGCCTTGGAGAGGAAAATTCCCCGGGACGAAGCCTCCCAGCACTGCTTTCTCCAGGAGGACAGGGCGTGCATTTTGAATGGTGGACAGAAGGCTCATCCAAATCTGGCCTGCCGACTCGGTGCCTACTTGCATAGACAAGACTGACTTATGTTCTCCTGGCAAAGGCCCCTGGCAGGGCCTTGGGGATGTCCTGTCACCAAAGAACATGCCAGATCCCTATGCAAACCCTGCATGGTGCAGCACGTGCTATCCCCGGCAGCTCCTCCGTCCCCGCTCCCAGGTGACACCATGGAGCAGGCTCACGCTGGCCTTTGCGGAGTGGTCCAGTCTGACCCCAGGACCCCTCTGTGTACCCCAGGGCCAGGAGCTCTGAAAACGTGCCCATGAGTCGGGCCGGGTGAGGCGGGCAGCTGGTCTTCCCATGCCCCTGATGCCTCTCCTTTTGATGGAGGAAGAGCCTGGGATGGGGCTTCATGGGAATTGCTTAGCAGAGAAATAATGTCACCTTCTCTCCTCAGAAGGTGGCCCAGGGTCAAGCAAGTTCATCATAAAGTTCCTGGGCTGAGCCCCACCCCCTCCACCTCTTAGCAACGGGGATCACTGGGGCAGGGACTTGGCCAGGATGGGGCAGCCTCCCTCTCCCATTCACAGTGTTGTCAGTTTTTAGAAATCATGTAGGAGGCCGGGCGCGGTGGCTCACGCCTGTAATCCCAGCACTTTGGGAGGCCGAGGTGGGCAGATCATGGGGTCAAGAGATCGAGAACATCCTGGTCAACACGGTGAAACCCCGTCTCTACTAAAAATACAAAAATTAGCTGGGCGTGGTGGTGCAGACCTGTAATCCCAGCTACTCAAGAGGCTGAGGCAGAAGAATCACTTGAACCCGGGAGGCAGAGGTTGCAGTGAGCCGAGATTGTGCCATTGCACTCCAGCCTGGGCAATAGAGCGAGACTCCGTCTCAAAAAAAAAAAAAAAAGAAATTGTGTAGGCAGGTCTGGATTTCTGGATTCTCTTTAGAAATTACAAGATGTGGTACAGAGATCTGGCCACTCAGCATGCACGTTCCCACATGGCAGTGAGAAGCTGTGGCAGAGCTGGGTCCCTGGTGGGCACGGCAGGTGTTCGGCCCCCACTGGCCTGGTTCACTCATCCCGCCTGCCTTGGAAAGTGCCCGGGGTTGCCATGCCTTTACTCTAAAGGTGGTTTGTTTTTGATGTCCTTATTCGCTCCAATATTAGCTCATGTGCCCCCGATTCTGCAGAAAGTGAAGGGAGAGAGCTGTCAGCTGCAGAGTGCGCCCCGATGCCTCCTCCCGGCTTGTGGCCAAGTCCCAGGCCCATGGCAGACCCCGTGTTAGGCAAATCCCACGTGGTCCCCGAGATCAAGGGGCCCACAGCCAGAGGGGGGACAGACAAGTCGCCCTGTTCTGTGCCCATGTGGCTCATCTCTACTGAGCATCCCCAGGGCTGATGGCCGGGACCCAGGGGCACGCTTTACCTGGGTGGTCAGCCAAGCCCCCTCGAAGGAGAGACCAGTCAGGAGTCCTTCATGCTCTTCGGGTAGAGGGTGAGTTGAGGGCTGTTCTCGGCAGAGAGTGGTGACATGCAGACGGGCAGTATAAGAGCCATTGACACTGGTTAAGCAGCTCCCGGTGCGGCCAGCCCCGTGCCACCCGCTAGAGACCATGATGGCTCAGGTACGGCTCTCAGGGATCCCAGAATGCAGGATGCAGAGGAGACAGGCGGACTCCAGTCCTCCGCTGACACAGACTCTGCACGACGGTGTGCAGGCACTGTTGGGGCCGGGGATGGCGTGCTTTCACGCAGCTTGTATCTTAGCAGGGAGAAGGGTGACACGTCGGCCTAACTAGAAAGTCCTGCAGAAGGTGCTGAGCACTGGAAGGGAAGCGGGCCCAGTGGATGGACAGGGGCAGGTCAGGCTCCCCGTCTGGTGAACTGTCTCCAGTCACAGTCAGCCTCCAGTGGCCGCTGCCCTCAGGGTTTCTGAGGACACAGCACCGGGCAGTCTCCCCTGGCACCGTGGCCACACTCACCCTCCACAGCAGTGGTCCCGCGGGCACTGTGGGGCCTGATGTGCTGCCGGAATCTGACCTGCCCTCTCCTTGGCTGGATGCATGGTGCTGGCTCCTGCCCGGCCCACTGGCTCTGCCTGTGCTCTGCCTCGGCCTGCACCCCGCACCAGCCCCGTCACCCATTCTGTTTTCATTCCAGAGCCCTCCACGGCATGCCCCCGGCCCAAGTAGACGCATGCTTCCCACCCCTCACTGCCTCCAGGACTAATTCTGTCTGTATTTTCTTTCCTCCCCCGGCCCCTACTTCATGCTGACCACACACTGTCTTTCCCGCGCCTGTTCTTGGCACGCCACCCCCGTAAGGACTGCACTGAGCATAGAACCTCTGAAGGCACTTTCTGGGAGCCCGAGTTTCCCCACCAGCCCCACAGGAAGAGACTTTTCAGTATCCCCGAAGTAGCGGAAGAGGATGGAGAGTGCTGCGGGCTGCTGCACAAACAGGGTGCAGGGCCGTCCCCCAGGGCCAGGACGGGGCTGGCCAGAGAGACCAGGCCCGGCCGGCCCTGCAGGGGTGATGAGGCCCCTCGGGGCTCCTGGTTCCCGGTGAAGCACAGGGGCTCAGGGGCCGTCCCCCACGCGGAGGATTTCCTTCTGGAAGACAGGGGCTGTCGGTTCAGCCGCTCGGCCACCCGGAGCCCGGACAGCGGCCTGGACTGTGGGAGTGAAGAGGAGGAGTCACGGTTTGGCTTTGGAAACACCGTGGCCACGTGCAGCCCAGGCCCTGGCCACTGTCCCTGCAGGAGGGGCCTGAGGCCGCTGCTGGCCCGGCGGCGGACGCTGACCCGGCAGAGCAGCGTCGAGGAGGACTTTGGGGAGCAGGTGGGCCCCGGTGGCGTCCTCAGGAACGACGACCCCCAGCCCAGCCCGGAGAGGCCGCTCCCCAGGAAGCACTGCTGGGGCCAGCCCGCCGAGCACCAAGATTTTCGGGGTGTCTGGAAGAAAAGCGTAACCATGCCCGACAGTAGGGCAGCTGCCCCCCACGCAAAGCCACCTCCCAGAGTCGCACAAGGCCCCCTGGTGTGTGACCTAAACTTCCTTTCCACAGCCACTTGCCAAACTAATCTGTTCCATTCTTTCATTGGTTTTCTGTTTGTCCTGGTGTCCATCCCTGGGGACGCTCTTGCCGGCTGTCTTCATTTTCCCTGCATTTTTGCTTTCTCAAGTCCCATTTGCTTCCCAACCTTTTGACCATGCTGAAGATTTCTTTACTTTGCTTAGAGTGATGATTTCCACCCCCCAGAATCAGTAATGAGTATGGCTGCTTGAATTAAAGGACAACTGAATCTAAATTTTAATTAAGGGTTAGCTGAAGTGCGATTCTCTGAAAGTCTGGCAACATGTTTGTGTGCACAGCGATCCTTAGGGATTTATTTATGACGACTAGGATTGTCGAGGGGTTTTTTTTCCTTGTTATTTTGGAGTTTTTTTCATTGCTTTTTGACCTTCATCCATAACCAAAAAAAAAAAGAACAATGATTGAAGAAATCTATTTTTTTTTTTTTTTTGTGCGTATTGTTTCCAAAGTTTTTGTTTTTTTCTCATTTGTTTTCTGTGCCCACGGTTTCCAGAACGCACTTTCCCTGATCAGCCTTCTCCCCGCCGGCCCAGCCGTCTGGGCTTGTTGTTGGTGTTGAGCGTAGGGATTCATTGAAGGCTTCATTCATCTCTATATTGTGTCCTCTTTTCAGAACATTTGCTCCTGTCATGCTGACCTTTTCATTGAAAACACAGGTGAGCCATCCACATGGCGCCAGGCCTTGGGTCTGAGGCCGTGTGCTTGCGATGGGCCCACCCGGGAGAGGTGCGAGATCCGTACCTCGGCGACTCAGCTGCCCACCGCAGCCCGCGGCCCCCCAGCCCCACCGCAGGCTCTGCAGCAGGCATACTTCATCCCCAGACTCCCTGCCCGCCGTTCACGCCTGTGTTCCTGAGAACTTCCTCACTCCATTTACTTACTAGCAAGAAGAAGGTGTTGCTGTGATTGTCTTTAGTCAATCCTAACCCTGATCTAAAGGTGAATTTAGAGGTGAACTTAGCCAGAAAGGCGACCGGTCTGAGTCCTGGAATGTTACCAGCATCTTCAGATTAGGAGTAGAATGTTGAGTTTTGAAGCTGATAAAATGTAGAAACTTCCGTCTTTGAGTTGTGTGTGAGAAACCTCACACGCAACTTTTATCCAAGCAGGACAGGTGGAACTGCAGTGTCTTCCCCACTTTTGTGACAGCTGGGAGGGGGCATGTGGAGACTAGGAGGGGCTCAAGTGCTCCAAGGAGCCAAGGTGGGGCGAGATGTATTCAAGCCATTGTCTCTTTGGTCCAAAACATTTGTCTTCAGCACCAGCAGCAGCAACCAAAAGAGACCCCCTACGAGGAATTTTTTGCCCTCACCCCACCATGCGCCCAGCAGCAGCTCTGAGTAGAGAGTGGGTGCTGGTGCACGGCTTTGTTCTCTCCCAGGCCATTCAGCTAACCTTTCAGTTAAAAGCTAAGTTTAGTTGCCTTTAGAGATTCTGCTTCTCAGCCCACTTGATTTGGCTAACTGAATTCTTCAGCTCCCAGTGCTGGCGAGACTTATGACTTTGCTGTTGTTTTGTCTTCAGATTTTAGGGAACCCAGCCTCTGCAGGACGGGTGGATCACATGGGTCGGAGGTTTCCCCGCGGCAGCGCTGGTCCTCAGAGGTCCCGGCCCGTGACTGTCCCATCCATCGGTTAGTGGCTCCATCGTTGCTGTTCTGTCTTTCAGCTGCGGAGCATGTGGCTGCTTACGCCATCTCAGCATGAACACAATTTTAGGAGTAGCATTTTCTGCTAAGCACAGAACCCTCTGTTATTTATGGCAAAAAAGAAGGCAGGAACAGCACAAGATAAATGAAAGCTATTTGTAAGTATTCTTGAAATATCAAATTGGCCTTCTACATCCATGTTCTCCCCGCTGATTTGTTCCTGGAGAGTTTCACAGGGTAAGCACTGAAGGGACCACTTGTGTTGCCTCCCTCGTCCTGGCATGGGCTCCCTGGGACACTCAGGATCAGAGCCCGTGGCAGGTGCAGAAGCTGGATGTCAGCGTGCCTCGGGGGTCCGTGAGCCCCGCCAGAGGGAACGCTGTCTGTCTGCAGAAGACACACGGGCAGCAGAGCTAAGTCCTGGGGGACACCGTGCAGCTGTGTGCGCCCCTGAAGTGCGTGCTCCCCACATCCATCTGGGCACCTCCCCTGCTCATGAGCCATCATCGGGCATTCTGTTTCCATTCTCTTCCTGACATTCTGGAATTCAGCCAGCCGTGCTGAAAGCTATCGTTTTAGCCATCCTCATCAATCCGCGGAGGGGGATACTTCTATTATTGGAATCAATCATGGCAAGGAGAATTCCAAAAAGTATTATGCATAAGATAATGGAAGCTGGTCATCAGCATAGAGGAACCAGGCTTCTGTGAACACACACACACACACACACACACGCGCGCGCACACACACACACACATGCAAGGAGAACTCTTGATACCACAGAAGTAGATGAGGAGAAACCGTCTTGGTTTGGCATGACAGGGCTCAGGGAGGATAACTTCCGGATCGTCTAGGCCCCTGAAAAGCCACCTGGAATCTCACTGAAATAGCTGAAGTTTAAAAGGCAACTGGTCTTCTTTTCCATCAACTCAAAATGAAGACAGGCTTCATGAAGCAAATAGATTTTTTAAATTGTGTCCTGCCAAACTTTTTCTTCCTTGTACAATTCAAACAGTAAGACAAAAAAAATTTCCTTTTCCATCTTTACAGTTTTTAGATTGTTTTTATCTTTAACCAGTAAAAATTCCATGCAGTGTTAAAGATCCGTAGGCAATAGTATTTTCAGTTAACTGAATAATAAAAGATGCAGTCAGGATCAGAGAACCTTGATGGTCGTACTACAGATCAACTAGCAGGGTTAGTGGAGCCCAGATTCCTTTCGGGTGTTCTAAACCTACTGCGTGTCTCTCAAATCTTCATTCACTTTGTGTCCCTCCGGAGGAACTACGGAGCTTAACAAATAGGTTCTCCTGGCTTTCGTGTTAAATGGCCTGTCCGAGATGTCCTGTCTTGAGAAACGCGGTGGGGAAAAGGCCACTCCTCCTGTTCAAGGCTCTCTTTCTCTCTCTCTGGTGAGGGTGAGTTTTCGAGTCTTCACATGATGGTAACTTTAATGAGTGAAATGACCTGGTGATGGGGTAGCCAGTGACAAGTTAATGCTGTGGCCATTCAGAAAGGACGTCCTTTGGAAGAGGCATGCTGAGTCTTCCCTTCCAATCTCCTAGGACTGAGAACTGAAAATTGGGCTGTGACAAATCAGCACTTGAGACAGGAAGTCCAAGAAAACCAATCCTGGGCCTGCAGTCTTGCCAGGGTGACCCTCGCTGTCAGAGTCGCAGGTGACAATTTGGCTGGATTTTTCTGCAGCTGTGGAGTTCCAAAGGCTGCATATGTGTCTTAATTTCAGGAGGACACTTGTTAAATTGGGCAAAAGAGCAAATCTATGTCAACACCTTAACAAGGAAAAAGCCTCTGAACATAACTCGGAAAAGAGTTAACTGACAAACCTATGAGAGGTTTGCTTTAATTGTGCTGACTTCTTATCACGTAGCCAGCCAGGAAACCACGTAAAAATAAACAAAAACCAGACACTTTATACACAAACACACATCTCAGCACCTATGGTGGTTTCAAAAGGAAACAGAAGTGGTGGGTGCTTATCACCCACCTGAGGAGGCGGCCCTGGCAAAGAGCCTTGGGAAATGAACATCAGTGACAGCTGAACAGACAGGATGTTCCTCTAGTTCTCATTTACTTAATTGTATTTTTCTTGTGAAAACATTAGAGAACAATATTTTAGAAATCTGCTACATTTCAAAAGCATTACTTTTCTTTTTCAGAGGAAATTAAGTCTGTAAACCATATACTTCCTATTTTTAATAAGCAGTGGACCTACAACAAAAAATAATATAATAGGTTCTCTGGATTTCCAAAATTTAAAAAATGTCCTTCATGATTAAAAAACAAAATTATGTAGCTTCCTATCTAATAAATTCTAAACCACACAATTAGCATAAAGAGGTCTCAACGCTGATAGATGTCTTCGTAGATATACTTAATTAGGTTTGGTTTTTTCCTTTATAATTTTTGGTCTTTGCATTTATCTAGTTGTCGACCTGTCAGACAGAAGGCCTGCAGATTCACCCTTTTGAAACCGAAGCACTATGTTTAAGAGGATTCTATTCTTAGGAATCAACTCTGAATATCTTCTCTGTAGTCTCCCATTTTTTTTGTTATTTGTTATTTTGGCTACTGAGCCTACAAAGTGAGGAAAGTACAGCACATTTTCTTCGTGTTCAGGGAGGAAAAATAAATTAACTCTATTGACAAAGCTTTGCCCCTTAAAAAGGAGAGCCTTTTCTTCAGGTTTCCCTGCAAGAAAAAAAAAAAAAATCAAAAGCTGTCAACTCTGTTTAATAGATGATTCCCTTTATCTCCACAGAAATTACAATGGACAGTAGCAGGGAGGGCGGTCGATCTGGGCCAGGTAGTGAGGGAAACCTCTCTCCTGTAGAAAACGGTGCTTATTCTCACGGCACCGGTGGCTTTGGGAGGCCACCCAGGCGGCCAGGCATGAGCCCTGATCTCCCACATGATATGCACACCCTTCCTCCTAGCAGACCCCTTGGGCCAGCACGCTTCCTCAGCAGGACGGGAGGCAGTGCCCACTGCCCCCAGGGTCAGACGGACAGCTGCAGGTAAGTGCTGCTTTCAGTCTCGCCTGCCACCAAGGACAAGGGACCCCCAGTGGCCCAGTCCAGCCTGCAGTGAAGCCAAGTTTCCACGGACACATTCCAGGGAGGCCGCTGCTCTCTCCCTGTTGAGGTCCGGTGCTCATAACACATCCAGTGCGTCCTCTCTGGAGGAGCGGACGGTGGAGTCACCGCAAACACACGACTTTATTCACATACATTCAACTCCAAGTGCTCCGCCCACCTCTACCCCACACCTGTCTTCCCCCAACACAACGTGACACTGGGCAGTTCTCTGAAAGGAGCCTTCGTCGGGGGACTGGCCTCAGGCAGCTCTGTGTTGGGGTGTCTGCCTAGATGCCTCCCGTGGTGTGGCCAGTTGCATGGTGCATGTGAGTTTGGACTTGAAGACAAAATGATGTGTTTTTGCAGATCATGGTCCTTGACTATAAGCCACTTACTGAGAAAACGCACTCTTCCCTAGGCTCTAGGAGGGACTGGAAAGATTTTCAAGGGGGATGTTGACCACCCCCAACTCTCTCTAGGCTCTGACCATAGCCCCTCACCCCTCTGCACGTTTTGATGCCACAAACTTGCCACATAAACTCAGCTGGAAAGTGCTGAGAACTTGCTTGGAAAACGCCGTAGCCAGAGGTTCTCCTCCACCGGCATTTTTCCGCACCTGGAACTGCATTCACTAGATCACACTGACATGGTCATTCAGTTCCTCCAGCAGAATGGAAAGCACATCCTTCTCACGCAGCCACAGCTGTTCTCCACCATCATCCCTGGGTGCGAGAAAGGGCTGCACAGTTGTGCCCGCTGTAGAGGCCACGGAACGCTTCACATTCTGTTGAACTCGGATACCACCTGAAACCAGAAAAAACGTCATCAGGTTTTTTCACTGACTATCCACAAAATCAAAATAGCATGGAGAAATTAATGAAGCCTGCTGTGGAAAAGTTTTGTTCCCTGGCAGAAATTACATTTTAGATTAGGCATTCAAAAAAGACTCTACATCTCAATAGTGTAAACAATTTATTACATTTTAAAATTCAACGTTTCCTGCAGCCAAAACGCTTTTTGTTTTTAGACTACGTGTTTCATTTTTTTCTGGTGAAAGAGGCTGATCCGTTTGGTTCTTTCTCTACCACCTGTCCTGTCTTTTCCACATACCTGTGTCCTCTCGTCCCACCACCTGTGTTCCTCGTGCTGGGACCGAAGCTCCCGCTGGGCTGCCTCTCCCAATCCTGCGCTCTCTGCTGCCAGCTGGCGTCTTTCTCACTCGCTTCCGTGACGGTGTTCTGAGACCACCTCCCAGGATCAGACCAATATTATCTGTTGGTTCCCTCTCCCCCGCCTTCTCTCTCCATACATATATGCACACATATATCTAATGTTCAGTGATACATATGTATATATATGCATATGTATTAGGATTTCCAAAATAATTGTTTTGACTTAATCAACTTTCGACTTTTATTTTGGATTCACTGGGGTACATGTGCAGGTCTGTTACGTGGGTATAGTGAAGAGTGCTGAGCTGTGGGGCACAAATGATGCCATCATCCAGATAGCATAGCACCCTGTCAGGAGTTTCTCAGCCCTTGCCCCCTCCCTCCTCCACCGTCTAGTGGTCCCCAGTTTCTGTTGTTCCCATCTTCGTGTCTATGTGGACCCAATGTTTAGCTCCCACTTATAAGTGAGAACATGAGGTGTTTGGTGCTCTGTTCTTGTGTTAATTTGCTTAGGATGATGGTCTCCAGTGGCTGCAGGCGACATGATTTTGTTCATTTCTCTGGCTGCGTAGTATTCCATGTGGTACACGCACCACATCTTTATTCAGTCCACTGTTGATGGGCATCTAGGTTGATTCTGTGTCCCTGCTACTGAGAACAGTGCTGTGATCACCATAGTGAGTGCCTGTGTCTTTTTGGTGAAACGACTTCTTTTCCTTTGGGTATATACCCAGTAATGGCACTGCTGGGTCAAATGGTAGTTCCGTTTTAAGTTCTCCAAGGAATCTCCAAACTGCTTTCCACGGTGGCTGAACTAATTTCCATTCCCTCCAATGGTATATACGTTTGTAAGTGTTTCTTTTCTTCGCAGCCATCCCAGCGTCTATGTTTTGACTTTTTAATTGTCATTCTGAATGGTGTGAGATGGTCACCCATCGTGATTTTGTTCTGGATTTCTCTCATGATTAGTGATGTGGAGCATTTTTTCATAGGTTTATCATCTGCGTGCATGTCGTCTTTTGAGACGTCTATTCATGTCCTCTGCTCTTTCTGATGGAGTCATTTTTTGCTTATTGATCTGTTAAGTTCCTTGCAGATTCTGGACACTAGACCTTTATCAGATGCACAATTTGCAAATATTTTCTCCCATTCTGTAGGGTGTCATTTACTCTCTTGATAGTTTCTCTTGCTGTGCAGAAGTTCTGTAATTAGGCCATGCATGTTAATTTTTGTTTGTGTTGCAATTGTTTTTGTGGTCTTTGCCATACATTCTTTGTCAAGGCTGATGTCCAGAATGGCATTTCCTAGGTTTCCTTGCAGTATTTGTATAGTTTGAGGTCTTACGTTTAAATCTTTGATCCGTCTTGAGTTAATGTTTGTATATGGTAAAAGGTAGGAGTCCAGTTTCAATCTTCTGCATGTGACTAGCCAGTTATCCCAGCAGCATTTATTGAATGGGGAGTTCTTTCCCCATTGCTTATTTTTCTCAACTTTGTCAAAGATCAGATGTTTGTAGGCATGTGGTTTTAGTTCTGGTTCTCTAGTCTGTTCCATTAGTCTGTGTGTGTGTTTTTGTACCAGTGCCACACTATGATAGTGACTGTAGCCTTAGAGTATAGTTTGAAGTCAGGTAATGTGATACCTCCATTTGTTCTTTTTGCTTAAGTTTACTTCAGCTATTTGGGCTCTTTTTTGGTTCCATATGAATTTTAGAGTAGTTTTTCCTAATTCTATGTAAAATGATGATGGAATTTTGATAGAAATAGCATTGAATCGTATACATACATAAGAAACCTGCACATCGTGCACATGTACCCTAGAACTTACAGTATAATAATAATTTTAAAAATCGCATTGAATCTGTAGGTTGCGTTGGGCAATATGGCTACTTTAATGATATTTATTCTTCTAACCCATGAGCGTGGAATATTTCAGCGTTCATGTCATCTATGACTTCTCTCAGCAGTGTTCTGTAGTTCTCCTTGTAGAGATCTTTCACCTCCTCGGTCAGATATATTCTGCGTGTCTTAGTTAGATGTAATCTGTATATTTTGTGTGTGTGTGTGTGTGTGGCTATTGTCAAGGTGATTGCATTTTTGATTTGGCTCTCAGTTTGAACAATTTATTGGTGTATAGAAATGCTACTGATTTTTATACATTGATTTTGTACCCTGAAATTTTATTGAAATTGTCTATTGGTTTAGGAGCCTTTTAGCAGAATCTTCAGGGTTTTCTAGGTTTAGAATCATACCATCAGTGAAGAGAGATAATTTGACTTCTTATTTCCTATTTGGATGCCTTTCCTTTCTTTCTCTTGCCTGACTGCTCTGGCTAGTACTCCAGTGTTGAACAGGAAGGGTGAGAGCAGGCATCCTTGCCTTGCTCCAGTTCTTAAGGTGAATGCTGCCAGCCTTTGCCTGTTCAATATGATATTGGCTGTGGGTTTGTCATAGATGCCTCCTACTATTTTGAGGTACATCTTTCAATGCCTAGATTGTTGAGGGTTTTTTTACTCATGAAGGGATGTTGGATTTTATTGCAAGCTTTTTCTGCACTATTGGGATAATCATATGATTTTTGTTTTAGTCCTGTTTATGCGGTGAATCATATTTATTGATTTGCATATGTTGAACCAATCTTGCATTTGAGGGATAAAGCCTACTTGGTCATGGTGAATTGTCTTTTTGATGTGTTGCTGGATTCAGTTTGCTGGTATTTTGTTGAGGATTTTTGCATCTGTGTTCATCAGGGATATTAGTCTGTGGTTTTCTCTTTTTGTTGTGTCTGTCAGATTTGGGTATCAGGGTGATGTTGGCTTCATAGAATGAGTTAGGGCGGAGTCCTTCCTCCTCAATTTTTTTGGAATAGTTTCAGTAGAATTGGTACCAGCTCTTCTTTGTATGTTGGTAGAATTCAGCAGTGAATTCATTTCATCAATATGGGTCTATTCAGGGTTTCAATTTCTTCCTGATTCAATCCTGGGAGGTTGGGTGTGTCTAGGAATGTATCCATTTCCTCTAGTCCAAAAGAACCACTTTTAGAAGCTGGGTGGTATATGGAGCTGAAACCCAGTTCACCAGGAAATTATTAATTCACTGTAATAAAGATGCGTTTGTTGCCAGTTACGTATTTACCTAAGTGAACAGTTGGTCACCTCCACGGACTTTGATTAACATACAAATGTATTTTAAACGTGGGTGGTGCTTAGCTTTCCATTTTGCAGAGCGTGTGGGTCCTGGGAAGGCTCCCCAGCATGGGCCATCCTGCCCCTGGCACTGTGGCAGCTCCTGCCCCAGCCTGTGCTCTCTAGGGAGGCCCCCGAGGCCCAGGCCTCGGTGCTTTCACATGCAGTGTGGCAGGTACAGAGTGTGGGTGTAGTTATATGCTTCTCCAGTTCATCTGAGCTAGACCTCCTGATCTATTTCTGCCTACATGTTAAGACACAAAAAAGACGAAAGTCAAGGAACTGCTGCCATCCTCACTGCTTTCCAAAGCTGCATTTCCTGTGCGCACTCCTCAGTTAGGCTCTCACTGCCGCTCTGTTCTTCACCCCCACTTGCTCTCAGACGATTACGGGCGAGACCGCCTTTCTCCAGACTTCTATGAAGAGTCGGAAACTGACCCTGGTGCCGAAGAGCTCCCGGCCCGGATCTTTGTGGCTCTCTTTGACTACGACCCGCTCACCATGTCCCCAAACCCAGATGCTGCAGAGGAGGAGCTCCCCTTTAAAGAAGGCCAGATCATCAAGGTGCGGGACGGCTGCCTGGGGCAGCTTCAACAGCCCCTGAGGCGGGTCTGGGTCGTGGGGGCGGAGACTGGCCACTCAGAGATACAACTGCTCCTGCAGGTCGTGGGTGGGACACGTCAGCCGCCTTCTCCTGCAGGCTGTGGGCGAGGCACGGGGAGCCGGGCACAGGAGGAGGTGGCATGGTGCTGTGACGGCCAGGGACCTGCCCTCTGCAGAGTGCCTTCTCCAGCGTCTGCCCGGTTTGTGTGCACACAAACACCCAAATATGTCCTGTGAACTCTGGATTCTATTAGGGCCTATGTTGTTGAGAAAAATATACAGGCTCCAAATTTTAAAACAACACTTGTCAGTCAGCAGGCAGGCAGGGAAGAAAGGAAGGAGGGAGAGGAAAAGGGAGGGAAAAGGGAAGAAGGGAGCATCAGTAGCTAGAGGCCGGAGTTCCACGCCTTAGTTCTTTAATACGCCTGATGGAGGTTGTTTCCTATCCCTTTGATAGCCAGCCGTCTTTTTTTTTTTTTTTTTCTTGAGACAGAGTCTTGCTCGGTCACCCAGGCTGGAGTACAGTGGCACTATCTCGGCTCACTGCAACCTCTGCTTCCCGGGTTCAAGTGATTCTCCTGCCTTAGCTTCCCGAGTAGCTGGGACCACAGATACACGCCATCACACCCAGCTAATTTTCTTTTGTATTTTTAGTAGAGACAGGGATTCACCATGTTGGCCAGGCTGGTCCCGAACTCCTGACCTCAAGGGATCTGCCCGCCCTGGCCTCCCACAGTGCTGGGATTACAGGCTGTGAGATCCAACCTTCTGAGAGAAGAGGCGCCTTGTGAGTTTTAAGGAGGGAAAATGAGAGACAGCGTGCTGTTCAGTAGGAGAGGGGCAAGACAGAGGGCCTTGAACCCTGTTTGCAGTTTCAGCAAGGGTCCTGACAGTTGGCATCTGAGAACGGTCGGAATGCCTGCTGTGTGGCACTATCTTGTTACGTAGGAACCCATTTCAGGCAGACAGCAACACCGCTTTGTGCAGCCTACCTGGTCCTTCTTGGTCGAGTGGGGTCTCATCACGCACCCTTTTAATGTGCGTGAATTTAAATACATGCATTCATCCAAGCAAACCCCCTGCCTGATGAGAAGAATGGCAGGTTGTCCAAACGCTAGATGAAAAACTGGCTCGAGTCCATCATAGAGCAAGGGTTACACGTACACATCTATGGCACACACGTGGGTGACCTACGCAGGTGATTTATGGTATTTTAAAACTATATTTAAAATATGTTTTCGACTAGACTCACTTACCATCAGTGGGACTATTGTATTTCTGAACCAATCAATTACAATGCTTGATTTAATTTTCCCCACGACTCTAGGTTTACGGTGATAAAGACGCTGATGGATTCTACCGTGGAGAAACCTGTGCCCGGCTTGGCCTTATTCCTTGTAACATGGTCTCTGAAATACA